TGTTTCTTTTCTTGAAATGCTGGGGAAATCAAACCCAGGGCCTCACACACGCTAGGCAAATGTGTCCCATAGTTTCTGCCAAATCTCTGCTGGCCTTCAGTTCCTACGTCTGGCTCCAACTGTTTATGAAGTAATATGCACAAATCCGGCAAGTTACAAATTCCTCCATCAGCATGTGACGTGATACTAACTACAGTGAAGGGCATCATGGGAAGTCATGTTACTGATGAGGAAATGAGGGCTGAGAGAGGTTAAATGCCTAGGGTTATAATGGTCTATAAGTAGTATTGCTGGGTTTTGAACCTGGGTGCCCCATACAGTGACCTCTAACCTCCCATGTCGCACCTCTTTCCTGATCAGACCCTGGAACAACAGGTTGAGAAATAACATCTGCCCAGTACTGTTGTTTGGAAAGGCCAGCGTAAAGAGCCTGGAACTCTGGCTTTGGCACCCTCTGCACCCTCCCATGGTGAATGCAGTGAGCCTGCCATCTGCCACCAAACCCTGGGTGTGCCTCAAGATAGCTGATATTTGTGCAGCCCTGCAGGTGTTACACAGAGAACCTCCCATGCTCCCAGCACTTGAATTCTCTCAATCCTTCCCTGTGTGGCCAAGAAGGACCAAAGGGCTGTTGCTACCTCAAATATATCAGGGTAAACAGAGGCTCAGACTGGCTGCCTGTTTGAGCTGAGAATAACAATGTCCACAGTGACACTCATGCCCCCAATCCGCAGCAACAGTTGGTGTTTTTGGCTTCCCAGAATGCTAGCAACCCTGTCCTGTTACCTCCACTTATGGAGATGAGAATGGAGCCTCAGATGAGTTATTTGTCCAAGGTCTCTCAGGAACAGAACTGAGAGACACACCCAGGTGAATCTTGCTTCCGAAAGGGTGATTGCATCTACTATGCTGAGCTTTGGGGTCCTGGCTGGCAAAGTTCAGGAAATAGAGTTGTGTATGCTGAGGGGTCCCAGCAGCACCTGCTGATACTAACTCCACTCCCGCAGGGATGTCCTGAAGCTGGGCTCCAGCCGGCCTTGGCAGGAGGTCCTAATGGAGATGACTGGAGAGCCCAGTATATCCACCGAGGCCATGTTGTCTTACTTCAAGCCACTGCTGACCTGGCTGGTGAATGAGAATGTGCAGCAGGGGGACATCCTCGGCTGGCCAGACTTCAGCTGTTCTTTTGAAGGTTGGACAAAACTAACTTTGGCCCTAGTTCTAAGGCAGCTTGAGGCCCTGCCCTATCTTGCTCTGGGTCGACCCTAAACTCTAGTCAGTTTATGGCCTGGCATGAGCCAGCACCGAAATAGAGTTTGGTGACTCCCCTATGTACCAGGTTGGGAACAACCTCAGCCAGTTCCACATCCACACAAAGTGGCTTTCCTTGCACATCGTCCAGCAAGACTGCCAAGCTGGCCTCTGGTCAGTGGGCAGGAGCCCCCAAACTGGGGTCTGTGGGTTATGTCACCCCACCCACCTACATCTTCTCTTCCTTCTTTTTTATGCTCCCTCACTGCAAGGCAATTCCCTCACCTGTGGCCTGAGGCTGAGAGAGAAGACAGTGGCCATCAGGTCCTTTCTGGCAACCACAGGAGGCCCTAGGGCCCCTTCCTCAGGCTTCCTTGCTCTGTAAGACTCTTTTTTTTTTTTCCACAGAAAAAACCACAACCAGAAAAGTGTCATTCCTGGGTATGCAGCTGGTGCCTGACCGGGCACAGCTTGGCCAGTGGGTGCTGCTAAGCATTTGTTTGGTCATGCTCCTCTTCATCCTGGGGCTGGGCTGTAGGCTGCACTACTTGGAAAAACAGTCACTGGACAAGGACACGCTGATCCTCACCACCCTGCCTTACACCTACTTCCTGGGCATAGCCATGAAACCCCATCAGGCAGCCCAAAAGCAGTGGATCCTGCTGAGTCTCTGCTTCAGCCTTATTCTGTGCTCCATTGGTCTGCTCATTTGGATTCTCACACAACACCAGAGGAAGCCCCCATGGATGACAACTGAGTCACAGAGCTGGGAGTACCCATCATAGAGACTGGTGAGATTGGGGGACAGGGCCGCAGGATGGCTGAGACGGGATGAAAGCTGGGAGGCTATGGTCTGCAGGCACAGCGCCCAGCTGTAATCGGGTGCAGCTGTGGCAGATCTGTGACCATGTGTGACTGTGTTTGCAAAGCTACGAGGCAGGCACAGGTGACTGACCTTGTGTGATCCGTGTGTGTCCTGGGTTCCAGGCTGACCAGACTTTCCCACAGTGGCTGGAAAACAATGTTTTAGTAAGTCAGTGGCTGTGTCCCTTGGAAGCAGCCTCTACACCAAGTCATACCGAGCACTGATTTTCCACACATCCTGGTGTGTGTGTGTGTGTGTGTGTGTGTGTGTGTGTGTGTGTGTGTGTGTGTGTGTTTTTCAGGAGCTTAGCTCTGTGGCTTGGCTAGGACTGCAGGATTCAAGGAATCTCTAAAGAAAGATCCTGCTGCAGTCTGCTTATAAACTGTCCTTCAGCAGAACTAGGCATTCCTTTACGAACTGCTGATGCCCAGTTCCTGAGTCCTGTGTTCTGTATATAGCCTACAACACTCTAATGATCCTTTATTGTGCCCTTTCGGTCTGCATAATCCAGGCCCCAAAAAGGCTCTTTGTTTGACCACCTGAAATGCAAGTAACCTCACAAACTGCCCCATTGCTCTCCCCAGCCCAGCCCAGCCCTCACGAATGGAGACAGTGGGTAGTTGGGCACTGAGCCAGGCATGATTAATGATTGACTTCTTTAATATTTAAACAAAGCTCATCTCCAGTCACTCTGCTCCAGAGATAGCCTTGTTCAACACACACACACACCTGCTGCCTGGCCCGTTGCCCTGGAGAGAAAGAACAGGGGCAAACAACACCTTTCCAGGCTCAGTGGGGGAAGGGAGAACAGGAAGAAGACAGCCATGAGGAGGGTATTTGGGATTTGATGTTCTAAGGATAATCTTGGGAAAAGGGGGAGGGGCCCTTGCCCCTGCCCTTTTCAACCCATTCTCCCCTGCCTCCTGATCACAGTGATACCTCACTCAATATTTGCAGGTGAGTTGGGGGCTGAAGCTCCAGGGACCCCTAGGAAGCCTCTCAATATCTGACAGAGAAAAGGGGAGATCTGAGGGAAAATGGTTATAACCAGAAGCCACAGAGAAGAGGCACCTGCTGGCCCAAGCATGAGACCAGCTTTCCTTATAGTATATATCTGAAGTCAAAAGTCACAGGTTGAGGAGACTCAGTAAAGACTGGGATCCCTGATTCCTATCACTGCCCAGAACTCTAGACCTCCTCCCCTTGTTCTTCCTAATCTAAAACACTTCCTACTCCAGCACCAGACTCTACAGCACCCTGTTTGATGTCTCTATCACACATTCTGTTATTTATTTATTTATTACGATAATGCCTTTATTGGTCCGCACTCTTAGCTGTTAGGTCCACAAGGCTTAACGTGCATCAGGAGTACTCTGTGTAATGTCTGATCGGCACAGGCCCTGATTCACAATGGGGGCTGGGAAAATGTTTGAATGAATAAGCAAATGAATGACTAGCTCACTGCCCAGCTCCAGCCTCAGAGCTCAGCAACCCAAATACTGACTGTATGAGAGACACTGTCCCCACCTCTCTTCCACAGCCAGCCTGCTCCCCACATTCAGGGACAGCCAAGACACCTCTGCCCCCCAGGAGGCCACGCCTGGCAGCCCTCTCATCTCTCAGCCACTGTGGCCGAGGTCCCCCACCAGGTATTGTGACTCTGTGTGGCACAGGCACATCCAGCCCAGGACTCCATGCCTCCCACCTGGACTACAGCAGAAGCCTCACTGAGCCTCCTTGGCCATCTACCCTCCCCCATCTACTTTGTAAAATTTATTTCCGCCAGAATATTTGCTTCAAATGTCTCTTCAAATTTCCTTCCGAACATCAAACTGCTCAAGAACTCAGCTGTCCGTCAATTAAATCTGGATGTTCAAATTAGCGTGGGAGGCTGTTTATCAGTTGTTATTGTTTTGTTGTTTTTCTGCATTTTCACCTTTCCCATCGCCCGACTCAGCCCCTTTGCATTGACACCATCCTTTGCCTAAGGTGCAAGCTCCACTTTGAAAGCTTGCTACTAAGACATGGCTCAAAATTGGCCTTGGGACCTTCTGTAAAGTTCCAAGTCCATCAAGGTGCTTAGTGAGTGATGGTCCTTCTTGCCTCCTGTCCAAGAAACCTTTTTCAATAAACTTTATCTCATTCCAATTTGCGTCTTCTACTGTGCTCATTTTTAATCAGTACTCAGACACTTTTATCAGTGGTCACTTGCTAATAGGCAGTTCTAGATCTGTTCTTTCTTGAAGAGCTGCCTGTGAGCAAAGAGCTCCGAGGCCTGTGAAGAAGACGCCGAATATAACATTTTTTGTACACCTTCATGTGTATCCTACCTCATCTTCCTAGAACTTCCTAGAACAGGCTCCGGCTGGATTTTCCACTAGATGTGCATGGACACTGGTAACCTACTGGAAGGCGTTTGTGGACAAGAAGCCTAAGTGTCCTGTTGCCACAGTCAGGTCCAGCAGTCAAACCCTGGAGATAACCTAATAACTTCTGCCCTTTCCTGCCTGGGAAACTGCCCTTCAGTACCAGAAGGGGTTCAAGGAGATGCTGAGGCCACTGGCCATTTGGACATGAGCAGAAGTTCTTCAGAGCATCCCAGGTTCAGGATCCCTGCCCCTCTCCCTAGGACGATTCAGAGCCCCTTCTGGATCAGAGAAGCTGTCCAGGTCCTGGACCCCGCCTTGCTGCTGTCTCTTGGCTTATTTCAGTACCACGACGCGGACAGCTCCCGGGCGCGAGCCTTGTGAGGGAGGAGGCGCGCTGAGCCCAGGGCGGGGGAGGACCAGAGAGGGCGGGGAGGGCAGACGCTGGAGGGCGGGCGGGGCCCGACAGCCCTCCCTGGGGGCGGCGCCCACCCCAGCCCGATGCCGCTGAGCCCCAGGACTGACGGAGACACCAGGAGCCAGGTCGCGGGTGACTCCCAGCAAGTGCTGCTACGGAAAGATGCCAGTCCGCAGGGGCCACGTCGCTCCCCAAAACACTTACCTGGACACCATTATCCGCAAGTTCGAGGGCCAGAGTAAGTGTGAGGTTCTGGGGTGTGGGGGACTACCTGCGTGCTGGTTGGATGGCAGGAGGGGCCAGACTCCGTACTAACTTCTGATGGGGTAAAAGGAAAAGGAGAGGATGGGAAGAGTTAGATTCTGAATACAAAATTTTTCGTTTTGATGTCCCCAACACCACCTCCCTACGTTCTCTGTCTGGGGCAGAATGCAGCTCTTATACCTCCCACAGCAGTTTTCTTGGTGTCTCGAACCCTGGCCTCCCCCACTTACCCCTCCAGACCATCCCCTAGAGGTTTGCTTCACTTCCTGCTTTTTACTCGGTGAGCAGGTCTGACTCCCCGTGACACAGTCCTGCTTCCTGGTCCAGACTCCCTCCACCGTTCCAGGAGTCCTGGGGCCTTCCTCCCACCCTGCTGACCCTAGCAGTCCTGGTCTTTCCACAGCCCGCAGGCCTGATTCTGGCACCCTTACTCTCCTCTTCCCTGCCACTTTCATCCCCCTCTGTACTCCCAGAAGGAATGACCTTCCCCCAGAACTTTTGGTCGTCCCTCTCTCCCTCCTCTGACCTCCAGCTCCCCCATTCTGGCCCCTGTGTGCTCCTGCATATAACTCCTCTCCTCAGCTGCCATCAGTCCCTATAGTCTTTCTCTCCCAGCTACCCAGTTCTGGCCGCCAGGGTCTTGCTGCCTTCTGCCTCCCACTCCAGGTCGTAAGTTCCTGATCGCCAACGCGCAGATGGAGAACTGTGCCATCATTTACTGCAATGACGGCTTCTGTGAACTCTTCGGCTACTCCCGTGTGGAGGTGATGCAGCGACCCTGTACCTGTGACTTCCTCACGGGCCCTAACACTCCGAGCAGTGCTGTGTCTCGCTTGGCACAGGCCCTGCTTGGTGCTGAAGAGTGCAAGGTGGACATCCTCTACTACCGCAAGGATGGTGAGACAGAGTGGGATCAAAATCTCGGCGGGCCATCTTCTCACCCGTCACAGAGTGGCCAGGGGGAAGGGTCTGAGCTGAGAGCCAAGGACAAACCCGATCCCCACTCTGGACCTGGGTTTTGTTAGTAGAGGGGGGTCATGAGCACTGGATGCCTTGTCTTCTAAGGGACTTGAGACTGAGCTGAGCCAGCTATTGATACTGGTCTAGGACAGAGGTTCCAGCTCTGCTTTACCTCCCCCATTTCCTGGCTATCCACTCTGTCACTGTCAGCCCCAGCTGTCAAGCAGCTGGGACGGAAATTAACCTTCCCTCATCTCTGTCTGCTCTGGGGATTAAGGGAGGAGCCAGCCCCCCAAGGCCTCTATGGCTAGTCAACGCATGGAAAAGAAGAATGGGCCTGGTTCACTGAAGTCCAGCTCTTTGGGAAGAGAGAGTCTTGGGTTTGCCTTAACCAGGTGATTTACCCAGATGGACTTAGTGTTGTTACTGCTGCCCAAGTCCTCAGAAAGCATGATATAAACACAAGCCAGGAGCTGAGGACCAAGAGATCAGCAGCCTTAGAGGCCCCCTCCCGGAGACGGGGTCCTGAGTGGATGAGGGTAGTGGAACTACAATCAGAAACTGAAAGTTTCTCAGAAATCACCAGTCTCCCCACCCGACTCTGGTTCTGCCCTGGAACTACCCGGGGCATGTTTTGCAAAACATACCTTCCCTGGAGAGAGGCTGACTCAGAGGGTGCAAGGTGAAGCCAGGCAGGTGTATCTGGAAAAAAAAAAAAATCTCCCAGTGGTTCTGATTTGCTGCCAATTTTAAGAACCACTGGTTTAGATAACTCCCTTCCCACGGGTGTGGAAGGTCCTTTCTCAAGATCCCATTGTCAGGAACCTTCCCTTGGAGATGTTTATTCTGAGTAATCCCAAGAAAGAAAAGACCTCAACTCTCTCCATGCTTGAAGGCAGGAATATGGGGGAAAGAAACACCCAGAAGAGAGAAGCTGCACCTTGGAAAAGAGCATGAGGGCCATCAGAGAGCACAAACAGGACAGGCACCGCTAGACTGGGAACATGCAGTGCTGAGAGCCCAAGTTCCAGAAGCTTGGTGCATGCATGGACCGTGCATGTGCGTGCGTGTGTGTGCGTGCATGTGCGTGTGTGCGTGCGTGCATGTGTGTGTGTGTGTGTGTGTGTGTGTGTGTGTGTGTGTGTGTGTGTTTATGGGCTTCTCAGATCCTGGCCACCCCCTGGCTGTCCCTTTTTGCTGCTAGCCAAGTGAGTAGCAGGTGGGAAGTGCTTCCATAGAGGCAGAGAACAGCAGGAGACTGTGAAGAATCTGGCTTAAGTGGGCTGTACTCACAGGGTTAACGAAGTCAGAATATTTTTAAAAGCTGTGACTTCACCTCTTCACATCATTGCAAGGAAGAGGTGACAGTCAGAGGAGTGAGAAGGGTCCCAGAGGAACAAGATGGGACTTCAGGAAGCAGAGGTGGCAAGAGAGTAGGTCCATTCTGTTTCTTTCCTTGACCCCAGAGCTCTACCTGTACCCCAGAGAGTGAGGGACAATCATAGACTCCTGGGGAAGGGAGGTCAGGGCTTTCAGACCCTGTAGGTATCTGGAAAAAGATCGGAGTTAAAAGCCAAGACTTGGCCCCTGAGATCAAGATTCAGGTCTTCAGATGTCTGTCAAGGTACTTTAGTCTTGGAGATTGGCTCTGGGTAAAAAAGAGAAAATTACCCACATATGATGCTCCATAGTTCCAGCCTTCCCCATTTCCCCTGAGGCCTTCCTTGCCTTGTTATCTAAGCCTTTGACCACCTGGACCATCCTTAATTGGCTTGAAACCAAAAAGAGGCTGCATTGCCTTGTGGTGCCCAGATAATGTATGTTCGTTCACATTGACAGTCCACTCTGACCATGTGGCTCTTTTTTAAAAAGTCATATTCCTATGCATTACACAATCCTGCTGAAAGGCATCCTAATGGTGACTTCTCTTTCTACCAGCCCCAACCCCTGACAGCAGGGAGGTAGGAAGGGGTCCTGAACACATCTCTAGCTGGTTTATTTGTGATTCCCCCCCACTTTTTTTTTTTTTTTTTTTTTTTTTGGTTTTTCGAGACAGGGTTTCTCTGTATAGCTTTGCGCCTCTCCTGGAACTCACTTGGTAGCCCAGGCTGGCCTCGAACTCACAGAGATCCGCCTAGCTCTGCCTCCCGAGTGCTGGGATTAAAGGCGTGCGCCACCACCGCCCGGCCCCCCCCCCCACTTTTTTTGAGATAAGGTTTCTCTGTGTAACCCTGGCTGTCCTTGAATTCACTCTGTAGCTCAAACTGACCTCACACTGAGAGATCCACCTGCCTCTGCCTCCCAAGTGCTGGTATCAAAGGCATGCACCACCATGCCCAGCTTCCTCTTTCCCTTTAGAAAGGTAATCTACTGAAAACTCAAGTCACAGTCTGTATCCACCGAGCTACAGTTGTGTGTCTGCATAGCCAGCTCACGGGCCAGGGTACTTGATAAAAATGACCCTGTCAGAGAACTCTAGAAATCAGAGCCTTTCCTCCATTTCCCTGTAAGGAAAGAGAAATCCTAACAGCTAAGGAAGGCAGGCTATGGCACAGCTAGAACTAATAATTGTCCAACGGGAGGCACAGGCAGTACTTAGGTCCCTAACCCCTGCATCTGCCCTAATGGACATCTGTCAGAGGGTCTAGCTCTGTGTACCTTCACTAAGTCCTATCTAGACTCTCATGGGCCCAAACTAGAGTCCCTAGTCCCCAAGCTAAACTAAAGGAGACCTGGAATTTCTCTAGTCTGTGGCTCCTAATAAGGAGGATAGGGCAAGGGTGAGGTCAGGGGATGTCCTCACTCTCCCCCTGTGTCTTCCACATGCTCACCCACAAATGCCAGAATGGGAAAGCCAGGATGATCAGCCACCCTCCTGGTAGCATCAGCCCCAAAGGGTTCTCTGCCCACCCAGTACTAGGCAGGTGCACATAAAGAGATTAGGGCAGGACAAGGGGTGTGGCTTTGTGGGAAAGCGTTGGTCTTGCATGCATGAGGTTCTGGGTTTCAAACTCAGAACCCCAAAATGTAAAAGACAACAAGGAGGCTATGTTGAAGAGAGGGTGAGGGTCAGGATGGGGAGGGAGAGGGATATGAGTTATGAGAAACAAGATAAACATAGCCAGGGGGTGAAGCCAGAGCGGAAATGGGGTGTCCTAGGGGCCAGACAGACTCACTGTTCTTGGTCAGAGAAGTATGTGCTGACAGAAGTCCTGGAAGGAAGAGACAGGCAGAGACTGGCTCTTCCTCCAGGGACAGAGCAAGGATGCTGGAACACTGCCATTCCTGAGCACAAACAAAGGCAATTCACTCCCTCTCCCACTCATCCAGCTACTCGTGGGCTCTGAACCACAGGTACAAGAATAGCCAGATCAGGTTGTAGGTAGAGAAAGTGCCCTGACTTTTTTCCCAGTCTTCCTAGCCTCCCATCTACTACCAAAGGAGCCGGCATGGTGGGTGGAGTATGGAAAGCCACACAAGGACCCTACCTGCTTCCCAGCTCTTACTGGTACAAGGGTCCATTCAAAGACTCTGCATCAGTGGGGTACAGCCAGGTGAAGAGAGCCCTGGGAACTCCCAGAGGCACAGAAAGTCTTGTGCACCTGCACTTCCGCCCAGGGCTGCCCTTCCCCACTTGGTTACTAGGCTGATTTCCCCAGTGCCAGAGAGACAGGGAGTATAGTGTGGCCTTAGGGACAGGAACATTACCATGCCCCACGCTGACCAGAACCACTGTAGCACTATGAGCCCAGGAGTGGCTCAACAGGCAGGCAGTGTCTCTGGTGTGGATGTCTCCCCTGGGCCCAGGCAGCAGCTGGCAGATGGCTGCCTGGTGCCGAGGAGTCCAGGAATCTGATCCGGGAGATTCCTTACTCTCTGGAGGAAAAGTGGGAGGGAGGAATGGGGAGGCAAAGCTGCACCCCAGGTTCAAAAGTGGGTGCTCAGTAAGGAGTCTGATGAAGAGTGGTTCCAGTGGCCCCCACAGTAGCAGGGTTCCTTTTAGACAGCTGGCACCCATTGTCCCCTCACATTCACTCAAGCTTGCTTTCTCCGGTTAATCAACAATCCCTGGCCCAGGTGACACAGACCCAAACCTGCCCTCTGCAAAAGCAGCTTGACTTTCTGATTTGCATGGTCACCTGAGCCTGCTGTCCCCGGGGAGCCTGCCTTTTGGAACTGACACCTAATACATATAGTACACGTAAGGGGTGTCCAGTCCCAGGCTGGACTCTGAGACAGGCAGCATTTTAACTTGTATTGATCCACCTGCCCATGAGTCAATGGTGAGACTCTAGAGCAAGGAGAGGATAGTGTGGCCAGAGGATGTGATGCCAACAGCTGGATCTGGAACTCTACGATGTTCTGTTTCCACAATGCCTTCTCCCTCCCTCTTTAACCCCCCAGGTCACTGCCCTGTCTACTCCCTGGTCCCAGCCTCTGCCCAGGGGCGTCATTCTAGCTCTATCCTCAAAGATGAGACCCTTTCCTTTTTCCCAACCTCTTATCTGCTAAGAGACTAGGGGTCCTCACCCCGAGTCTCCTGCCAGCTCCGACAAATTGGTTTCTCAGAGCTCTCATTTGCCTCTACCAGGACCTCCTACGGCCTAATGTGACAGTTGGCTCCATGCCCAGCACTTGATGTGTTCCTAGCAAGTTCCTTCCAGCATCAGGGAAGCAGGCATCTTTGTGGGATGGCTATATGGGAGCTGAGCCCAGGGCCATCCAGAGCTACAGGAGGAGCATGACATGCCCTCCCTCACTCCCCCCTTAATCCACCCCCATCTGCTCAATTTTAATTACCACAGAAGCAAACCTCAGGGCTAAGCCCTGAGCTGAGGGCTGAGCATGGACTGGACCTGATGCCATATTATCTCCTAATGAGCAGCTCTGCCCTGGGAAAGGGGGGCGGGGCACCTGCTGAACAGCTTCACCCATCCTCTTCCAAATAGCTCTGGTCACTGTCCAGGCCTCTTCTTTCTAGTGGATATCCTTCACGTGACCTTCACTCAGGCCCTTCCTTAGGCAGGCCACTGCGGGAAGGGCCTCCTCAGTGACCATCCCTATCCCCAATAATGGGGTTCTCAGCCTCCAGTTTCCGCTGCCTGGTGGATGTGGTACCGGTGAAGAACGAGGACGGGGCCGTCATCATGTTTATCCTCAATTTTGAGGACCTGGCCCAGCTCCTGGCCAAGAGCAGCAGCCGAAGCCTGACCCAGCGCCTGTTGTCACATAGCTTCCTGGGCTCTGGTGAGTATTATCAGGGGGTAACCGTGGTGAGAGAGAGTCAAGGCCACCACCCCAGCCCTAGCTGCTCTGACCCTGACCCTGATTTCAGAGGGCTCTCACAGCAGGCCGAGTGGACAGGGGCCTGGCCCAGGCAGGGGCAAGTACAGAACCGTCAGCCAGATCCCACAGTTTACCCTCAACTTCGTGGAATTCAACCTGGAGAAGCACCGCTCGGGCTCCACCACAGAGATTGAGATCATCGCTCCCCACAAGGTGGTGGAGCGGACACAGAATGTCACTGAAAAGGTCACCCAGGTATGGGTCTACAGGGCAGGGGTGGTGGGCTGTGTCAGACCTCCAGGGTCCCTTCCCTTCCAAGGCCTTGGACCTCAGTTCTTCTAGCTAACTGTGAACAACATCCTGGGGATCCATCCCTAAATGCCCCTCCTGTGCAGCTTCTATTTGGTCAACCCAAGGCAAATGTCCCTTCCTGGATCCTCTATTTCAGCTGACCCCACAGTCCCTTCTTAGGGGGCTTGTTGGCTTGATTCTTCCAGAGGGAATGAATAGAGCCCTGCTGGAGATTCAAGTAACCAGGATCCTGGCACTGACTCACTATGTGACCTTGGACAAAGGACACCCCTATCTTTGGGCCCCAGAGCTATCGTATGCAGGAAAGAGTTAGGCCAAATGGTCTCTGAGGACCCAGTGACATTAAGTAGTGCCAACTCAGGAGACAGAATGAGCTTTGTCAAGCCATAGAGAAGAGCTAGGCACAGATGAGCAAGGGACTGAAGAGGGGACAATCCTTTTCCTGCCCCTTCTCATCTGAAGCCCGGCCACTGCCAGAACCCAGGTATGGAGGAGACCATTTAGCCACATAGACAGGACTAAGAAAAGGCCTGGCAGAGAGGAGAGTTCTGACATCCCAGGGTGTGGCAACATGACCTGTCACCTTGCATCAGAGTTCCAGCTGCCAGGGATGGATGCTTTGGTGGGTCTTGGCTGAAAGTTCACATGGACCCAGAGCTGGCTAGGTGAAAAGACACAGGCTACTGAGCTGAGTAACCGTGGGGCCAGGGCTGCATAAGGGGATAGAGAAAAAAATGAAAAGAGAAGGTCCAAGCCCATGTGGGATTCCAAGTGGGTTCCTGGGAAAGAAAATGATGGGCAAAGGCTGAAAGCTGGACACAGCCAAACACTGTGGCTCCCACTGAGGCGTCTGGACGCCAAATCAGGACCACTTGAGTGGGAATCAGTCCTTAGATCGATTTCTTTCTCCCTGTGATCCCGTCTACTAAAGATCTTGTCTGCAAGATCAAACAAAGTCTCGCATAGCTGATTTCCTTAGAACAGAGCTAACTGATGATGGAGGAGTCAGTGGTCAATCCCTCATCAATCCCAGCCCTTTGGAACAGTGTCAGAGTAGGGATGACCTAGGAGCAAGCAAGTACATCTTGTTTAACCACACCCCTATGCAGTTGGCTGTCCTGTCTTACACCCGGGGGAACAGGGGTGTCACAGGTTACAAGGCTTGCCCTAAGGCACAGATGAAATAAATAGCAGCCCTGGAATTTAGCATGGAGTGTCTGGCTTCAAAACATATGCCCTTCCTAATACCCCAGATGCCTTGTTTCACGCTAGGCAGCTGGGAGGAGCCTGGGGATTGTTGGCTTCTGTCTTAGCAACTGTCCGTTGTTATAGTCTTGGAGGCAAGGGAACAAGAGTGAAAGGAAGCACCGTACAGATTGTAATGACTCCTGAGTGATATAGATGGAGCTCCGTGGAGCCCAGGGCCTGATGAGTGTCCAGACTGGCTGAACTCCAACCCAAATTTGGCTCTTTCCATGGGATGCTCTGAGAGTTGGCCCAGGGACGACCCTCATTGGCCCTCAGGAGTGAAGACTCATCTGGAAGTGACTTGTTCCCATCAAGAACCCCAAACTTGGGTTGGGAAGTTAGCTCAGTGGTAGAACACTTGTCTTCCACATGTAATAAGGTCCTGGGTTTAATCTTTAGCACTAAAATAAGCAAACAAACAGAACCAGTAGGCCTCCAAAGCCTGTTGAAGGCAAATAGTCTACCAAACTATCTCAATCTAGGTTCTTCCTTGGAACATAATCAAGATGGCGCTAGGTCTGACCCTGCTCACCCCAAGAGGGCTGTTTCTGAGAAAGCTTGTGAGCTTCCTGGGGTCAACCATGTGGCAGAGCTGTGTTCTCCTCCTCTATCCAACTTCCTCCTGACACACCTGTCCCTTTAGGAACCTGCTCCTTTGTGTGCCCATCCTTTGTCACCCTGTATTTCATGACCTTTGTGACTTACCCACAGCTTCCCCCCACCCAGACCTTCCCCATAGACCTGACTTATTAGTGCTGGCTGTCCCCACTGACCACCCATGGCTTCCATGCCAGGTCCTGTCCCTGGGCGCAGATGTGCTGCCGGAGTATAAGCTACAGGCACCTCGCATTCACCGAGGTACCATCCTGCACTACAGTCCCTTCAAGGCCGTGTGGGACTGGCTTATCTTGCTTCTGGTCATCTATACAGCAGTCTTCACGCCCTACTCAGCCGCCTTTCTGCTCAGCAACCAGGACGAATCACAGCGTGGTACCTGTGGCTACACCTGCAGCCCACTCACCGTGGTGGACCTCATCGTGGACATCATGTTCGTCGTGGACATTGTCATCAACTTCCGGACCACTTACGTCAACAGCAATGATGAGGTGGTCAGCCACCCCCGACGAATCGCTGTCCACTACTTCAAGGGCTGGTTCCTCATTGACATGGTGGCCGCCATCCCTTTTGACCTGCTTATCTTCCGCACTGGTTCCGATGAGGTGAGCACACCTGATCCATGCCAGCAGCCATGCTGACCCCTCCCTGCCTCACAGCTGTGGGGCACATCACTGATGCAGGCAGCAAATGGAAACAGAGGGGGCTCAGGCATCCGGCATCTCCTAGCCCCAGAGAAAGACTAGCTATGCCTCCAGACCTAGGGACCATCCCTCTGCCCCTCTCTCTTAGCAAGCCCAATTAGAGGATTAGGCTGCCAGTTGGTCTAGAATTCTGCTTTCTGTGGGATGGACACGCTACAGTCCTACCTTATGAGTCATTCTCGCCATAGATTAGAAAGGGGTACACAGGCTGCATCCCTGTGGATCCCTTCAGCCCTTCTTGCCTCAGCCCTTCTCTGACCACTCTGCTTCCTGCGGGTAACATGGAGAACATTTTCATGCCATTCTGCCTTCTGAGTTCCAATCATTCTCCAATCACCCCTGCCTATCCAATAGGGGATATCAAGTATATCCTACCTCCCAAATCCCCCCATTGAACCATCCCTAAGTCCTCCCCTTTCTTCCCCACCCCACTGCCCCTGCCTACACTGAGTAGTCTTCATCCCTACCTTTTCCCCAGGCTTTATCCCCTCTACACAGCAGCCAGGGCAAATCTCAGATCTCTCAGCCAACCCTGCCACACCTCCCTCAGAACCTTCTATGGCTCCCAATACCTTTGGAGTTAAAACCAAGATCTTTCTGGATCCTCAGACCCAATGAAGTGGCCACACACACCTTCCCAGACTCCTTTCTCACTGTCCTGTCACCTCCTGCTCTGACTTTCAGGTGCAGGGTTATAATTGGTTTCTCATATAGGCCATACCACTTCATACCTCCATGCCTCTGTGGCCCTGTACTGAGTGTTACCTTCCCTCCTCCCTCCTCTCTCCTCCCTCCTCCCTCCTGTCGGCCTGGAGAACCAGCTTCATTCCCATGATGCACTCCTGCATCATCTCTATGAATCTCCTTTGACCTGCTCCTGCAGACTTGACCTCTCCTCCTTGCTCCCATTGAATTTCTCTCCTAGCAGCCTGAATGTTGTTCTATACTTTGGCTGAGAACGCCTTAAGGTTCTTAGCTTACATTCTTCTGCCCAGTGCCTGGTACTTTCCTGAGTATTTGTAGCATGACCGTGTGATAACAGAGGCAGAAAAGAACAGATGTAAGCCTTGAATACACCTCTCCCTGACTTTCTCCACCTTTCCCTGCCCGCAGACCACCACCTTGATCGGGTTACTGAAGACCGCGCGCCTTCTGCGCCTGGTGCGTGTGGCTCGGAAGCTGGACCGATACTCTGAGTATGGGGCCGCTGTACTTTTCTTGCTCATGTGCACCTTTGCGCTCATCGCGCACTGGCTGGCCTGCATCTGGTACGCCATCGGCAACGTGGAGCGACCCTACTTGGAGCCCAAGATTGGCTGGCTGGACAGCTTGGGTGCACAGCTCGGGAAGCACTATAACGGCAGTGACCCAGCCTCAGGACCCTCTGTACAGGACAAGTACGTCACGGCCCTCTACTTCACCTTCAGCAGCCTCACCAGTGTGGGCTTCGGCAATGTGTCACCCAACACCAACTCTGAGAAGGTCTTCTCTATCTGCGTCATGCTCATTGGCTGTGAGTGTGACCTTGTCCTGTGCAGGGTACTACCCCTTGTGTGCAGCATGTAGATCTGTGTATACGTGTATACCACTCATATAGAGATTTGAGCAGCTGTTTAGACACTGCTCTAGGCCAAGTCATTGGCAGGGCACACTGTAAAATAAAGTATGGAGCCCTTGTTTAAAAATTATTTTTAAAAATGTGGGTGGTGACAGTTGAGAAGTAACCTGGGCTCTTAGCACAGGCTGTGTGCCATGAAGCTGGTCCTCCCAAGCACTCAGTTTCCAGAGGAGAAGCCAAAGGTCTTGACTTTGTTAGAGACCCATAGCTAGGAAGTCTCTAGCCCCAGAGTCTGCCCAGGGGTCAGCTGGGAAGCTGGGTGCTCACAGTCTTGGCACAGAGCTCCCTGCCTCCCAAAACACCTGGTTTAAGAACTCTCGAGGTGGTGTGGAAATTCACACATTAGGTTGCTGTGTTCAAAGTATTTAGAAAAACAAAACAAGGAAATGGAAAGGGGGGGAAGGTGAAAATGGGAGGCCAAGAGTTTTCCAGGTATTATGTTTTTGCAACTCACAGGAGAAAACAAATCTGAGGTGGGGGAAAAAAATAATTTCCCTAGTTCTTTCTTTGAAGAAGTCTGACCTCTGAGCCCGGAAGAGGCCAGAGGGCACAAAGTAGGGTGAGAAGGGCAGGTAGCCCCGGGATCTTTGTCCCTTGTGTGCATTAGTGCTGTCCCTGGTGGCGCTTCTGCCATCACCATGGACAAAGGGGGCCTTTCCCGGGGTCCTGCAAGGACCGGGAAGGCAGAGGCCGCTCCAGAGCCCCTCACTCACATCTCGCCCCGCCCCCAGCCCTTATGTACGCCAGCATCTTCGGCAACGTGTCGGCCATCATCCAGCGCCTGTACTCGGGCACGGCGCGCTACCACACGCAGATGCTGCGTGTCAAGGAGTTCATTCGCTTCCACCAGATCCCCAACCCGCTGCGGCAGCGCCTGGAGGAGTATTTCCAGCACGCCTGGTCCTACACCAACGGCATCGACATGAATGCGGTGAGCCCTGCGGCCCTCATGGGGAGTGGGTGGGCCACCGGCTGTGAGCCTGATGCAGGCTGCTCCCCACCGCCCCCCCCCGCCCACACCGCACCCCCGCACCGCACCACACCCACAGCCCCAGCTGCGCTCGGAGGGACTCGCCACGCCCCCCACCCACAGGTGCTGAAGGGCTTCCCTGAGTGCCTGCAGGCCGACATCTGCCTGCACCTGCACCGTGCGCTGCTGCAGCACTGCCCGGCCTTCCACGGTGCCAGCAAGGGGTGCCTGCGCGCTCTCGCGGTCAAGTTCAAGACCACGCACGCGCCGCCTGGGGACACACTGGTGCACCTGGGCGACGTGCTCTCCACGCTCTACTTCATCTCTCGAGGCTCCATCGAGATCCTGCGCGATGACGTGGTCGTGGCCATTCTAGGTGGGTCATGGGGGTTGACCTGGGCATTGAGGCTGGAGAGGCCCAACCCAGACCGCCTTTTTCCTACTGAGTATCGTGGTACCTTTTACTGACCAATCATGGGCCAGGACAACAACATGAGTAGCAGAGAGGTTTTTAAAGGTTGTTTTTTTTTTTTCTTGTTGGTGTTATTGTTGTTTTGTTTTGTTTTTTTAAAGATGTATTTATTTGTATTTTATGTACATTGGAGTTTTTCTTGCATATATGTCTATGTGAAGGTATCAAATCCCCTGGAACTGGAGTTACAGACAGTTGTGCGCTGCCTGGCGGGTTCCGGGAATTGAACCCAAGTCCTCTGGAAGAGCAGCCATTGGCTGAGCCATCTCTCCAGCCCTTAAAGGTTTTTTGGTTTTGTTTTGTTTTGTTCAGTGGGCAGAAACACAGCAGCAGGTGGAGGTCACAGAACAAGTTGGCCCTTTCTGCTTCTTCTACCATGTGGGTTCAGTCAGGCACTGAAACTTAGGTTGTCAGGCTTGGCCACAAGCCCTTTAATTTACTGAGCCATCTTGCTGGCCCCAGAGAGTTTTATACCTAGCTTAAAAAATCCTTAACACAGCCCTTTGCCTGTCATGTGACCTTGGGCAAGTCTGTTGACTTTACGTACCTCAGGGTCCTCTATTTGCATCGTCCTTGTCCTTGGCTCCAGTCTCTGACTTCAGCTTGGTCTCCATGACCTGGTTCTCTTCCAACCCCCTCTGGCCACTCCTGTCCATCACCCTGCCCTCAGTGGCTGGTCACCTAGGGCTAGCACTCGGCTCTCACCTCACTGCACAGCCTCACCTGGGCCAGCCCCTTGTCCACAGCCTCGCCTGGGCCAGCCCCTTGTCCACAGCCTCGCCTGGGCCAGCCCCTTGTTCTGTTCACAGCCCCACCTGGGCCAGCCCCTTGTCCACAGCCTCGCCTGGGCCAGCCCCTTGTCCACAGCCTCACCTGGGCCAGCCCATTGCTCTCACAGCCTCGCCTGGGCCAGCCCCTTGTTCACAGCCCCACCTGGGCCAGCCCATTGCTCTCAGCCTGAGCCACAAGACTCCTCAGAGCTGGGCCCCAGCCCCAATGTCTCCTTAGAGCAAAACAGGTGGGCATCTGGGAATGTGGCTCAGTTAGCAGAGAGCCTGCCTAGCATGCATGAAGGCCTGGGTTCGATCTCCAGCACTACATTAATCAGGCATGGTGATACATGCCCAAAGCTAGTCTAGGCTCTAAGAGACCCTGTCCAAAATAATAAAATAAAATAAAATTTAAAAAAGCCAGACCACGTGCAATAGATCCCAACTTGACCCCATTACTTTCTCTCAAAGACAGCCTCTTCAGTGTCCCCTGCCCTTCCATTGTCTGGGATAAAGCTAACAACTGCAGGAATATCCTGACAGTTTCTGGTCCTCTACCCCCATCCAGTTTCCCTTGCTGATAAATCTGCTTTCTACACCAGCCTCCACTGGGTCTGGTCCTCATGGGCAGCTGTGAGGAGCTCCGTCCTGAGGCCTTGCATTAGGTACATCCTTAGTTCTTCTGCCTTTTGAAAGTCAACCGACACACATCTGCATGGATTCCTCTCCCACTCAGAACCCTTTGAAAAGTCCCTATGTCCTGTGGACAAATGTAAACCCGGTTCCACCCAGTCAAGTCACTCTGTGAGTCCAGGCTCCCTACTCTGGGACTTCATGCTGCAGCTAGACAACTAGTCTCATCACCCTGTGACTCCAGTGCCTCTGTTCACACTGCCATTTTGTCTTCAGAGCTTACCCTGTGCCTGTCAGGCAGACCCAGGCGTTCTCCAGGTTGGCCTACAGCATGGACTCCCCTGAGTCCTTTCCTTTCATCCAAGCAGTGTTACGAATGCCACCTGCATGGGAGGGATAATGAATATTAATAATTAAGAAGCTGGTCCAATTTGAGTTTCAGTGAGAGACAAGAAATCCTCTCATCTTGTCCCGAGTAGAAATAGACATTAGATCACAATTTTTCATGTGTTAAAAAAATGAGGGTTGGTATTACATTGCCCAGATATCAAGGTTCAGGGTTCCATATGTGACCCTGGCAAGTCCCTTCTTTCTCTTAGGCCCAGTCCCCTCCCTTCCATCCTGTTCTCTTGGTGGTACATGCCTAGCCTCCGTCTATCCCTCTGTCTGTGCTAAACTATTAGTGTCCCTTGTACAGTGCCACGAGGCTGAGGAGGCTGGACTTTCCTGGGGGCAGTAGGAGTCAAAGAAACCATGGTCCATGGCACTTGTGACTCTGGTCTCTCTTCCCTCAGCCTTGACTATGCAGGGATGACCACATTGTGTTTCTTATGCCCAAATTCCCTTCCTTCTGAGGGCCTAGCCCCTGATTCTCTTGGGATTGTACCCCTTCTGAAAGCCCCTGCCCCCTCGTCCTAACAACGGTAGGCAGTATGAACCCCTCCCTCTTTCATAGTCCAGAGCTCTTGGTGGCATCCAGTTCTAAGACAGATAATTCTGTGACCTTGGCAACTTAAGTGCCTGCCTTTTAGGGACTTGAAGGGTTCCTAATAGGAGAGTCTCTTGCTCATGTTTATAACCCATTGCCAGCATAGCTCCTTGGCTCTGAAAGGACCTAGTGCTTGCGTCACATACCTTGACTATCTACCCTATATCCACCCTGTGACCTCCATCTCTCCTTGTGCCTTGCATTGACCTAGCCTAGGGCCTCTTGCTTTGAGGGATACTTTCTCAAACACGGCCACCTCTGCCCCTGCAAACAGAGCAGTGGAGTAGGTGACATCATTATGCCCATTTGAAGGTAGAAGACACTCAAGTGCAGACGGGAGATGGCTTCCCAGGGTTGCCCTGCCAGGGCCATGCTGGTACCCTGCTTGTACAGTGGAGAGTAAGAAGACAAAAACAGAAGCTCCAGGTCCTGCCCGGGGAGCTGGAAGCTTCCATCCTTGGGTCCTCCGTTGTCTGCTCCCTAGTGTCAGTGGCTCAAGGGAGCGAAAGGGAACTGAGCAAGGAACCTCTAGTGTCATTGACTGCCTCCTGTACCCTGGGCCAGAATGGGAACTGTGCTAAAGAGTATAAACAAAATGAAAGGACATTCTGGTGGAAGGTGGTTCTGAGGGTAAGAAACAAAAAGAGAACCCGTATTCTCAGGGCAAGAGCACTCCGAGGGGATCTGAGGCAACTGAGGACTGGTGAAGGCCCTCCTCCTCCTCCTCCTCCCCATCAAAGCCAGCCCATGCAGCCCTGTCCTCAGACCCCCTCAGCACCAGGCCCCAGCTCTGTGGGATCTCCGAGGTGGGAGGTAGGAAGATCACAGTCAAGGGGCCCTGAGAGAAGGTCTTCGTAAGGGAGCCAGACCCTGGAGGGACCACCATCCTTCTGGCTGGCAGGGAAGAATGACATCTTTGGGGAGCCTGTTAGTCTCCATGCCAGGCCAGGCAAATCTAGTGCGGATGTGCGTGCCCTGACCTACTGTGACCTGCACAAGATCCATCGAGCAGACCTGCTGGAGGTGCTGGACATGTACCCTGCCTTTGCAGACACCTTCTGGAATAAGCTGGAGGTCACCTTCAACCTGCGGGACGTGAGTCTGGGCCTGTGGGCCGGGGTGGTGGAGGTTCACAGAGAGCTGGTTGTGGATAGCACCCAGCCAGCCTGCTAAGGAGTTGGCCTGCTGGCCTAAGGGACTCATGTGGCCACTGCCCCTTCCCTTCAACTCCTCCTGCATCCTTCGCTGGGATGCTTCTGTACCTACCCTGGCCAACATGGCACTAACTATGGTGATAGCTTCAATTGAATGAGCAGCCTTTGTGAGCTACGTACTGGGCTTCTTTCACGTTGTTTTATTGGGTCTTGTCCTTGCATGTGGATGGTCTTATCTCCGTTATCTAAATGAATAAGCTGAGGATCAGAGAGGGTAAGTTGATTGGCCAGAGCTGTGTGGCTAATAAATGGAAGAGCCAAAAATATGAATTCAAGTTGTCTGGCTTTGAAATCCAGGCTTTCCCATCACCCGGCACTAACCTAAAAAAAAAAAAAAAAAAAGATGGGACCTGACATCCAGAGGGCCCATGGTGCCAGGCATGGTGATACAGCCGTTTTTTAAGATTATCATTCAGCAATCCAAGAGAAATAAAGTGACATTCATTTAAAGAGCCAAAGAAGCCACGTGGGTATGCAAGAGAAATCCAATTTCTGGGGTATCTTAGGATTAGTATTGCTGTGATAAAATGCCGTGACCACAATCCAGGTGGGGAGGAAAGGGTTCATTTCATCTCACACTTTGTAGTCCATCATCCAGGAGAGTCGGGGCAGGAACCTAGAATCAGGAGCTGACACAGAGGCACTGGGGGAACGCTGCTTACTGGCTTTCTCCCATGACTTTCTCAGTCTGCTTTCATAAAGCACCCAGGGCCACCAGCCCAGGGGTGGCACTGCCCACAGAGAGCTGGGCTCTCACACATCAACCAGGATAGCGCACCATCGGCTGGCCCACGGGCCACTTTGCGGGGGGTCATTTCCTCAGTTGGGGTTCCCTTTTCCCAAATGACTCTAGTTTGTGTCAAGTTGATGTAAAATTAGCCAGCGCATCCCGTTTGCCAAGGAGGGTGAGCCCTACAGACTCAGTGGAAATGCAGAGGGGCCTTCCTGCAGGAAGAGTCTGAAATCATCTAGGAAGAAAGAGGGGGAGGACTGCCTGTCAGGAGTACACTGAGCCTTGGCACCTCCATTATTTCTTGACCACCATCCCCCAGCCTCAGGAGAAGGGCTCTCATGACCTAGGCCTGCTAGACAGCTTCTAGATCAGCAGGCCTCAACCTGTGGGTTGTGACCCCTTTGGGGACCAAATGACCCTTTCACAGAGGTCACCTAAGACCATAAGAAAACACAGATGTTTACATTACGATTCATATCACTAGCAAAATCACAGTTATGAAGTAGTATCGAAAATAATTGTATGGTTGGGGTCACCAGAACATAAGCGACTGAATTAAAGGGTCGCAGGGTTAGGAAGGTTGAGAAGCGCTGCTCTAGAGTGTGGTGCTAAGGTGGATTTTCTTATGTGGCTGTCCCTCCCCTGCGGTTGGTTCCCTCTGTGACTCTGCTCTCTTCTTGAACTGCACGGGAGGCATCCAATAAGTACCCTGCGTGGTTGGCCTAGCTTTTGGGAGCCATCTGGTGGCCTTTGTGTCCAGTGGCTGAACACTAGGGCAGAAGGGATGTGGTCTCCATGGTCTTAGCTGCCCTGAGTCAACTGTAACCTCCAGATGCCCTCAAGTCTCATGGTGCCTGAAAGGGGAAAGTCAGAAATGCTACCATGGATACCACTAGACTGTTCCAGACCCAGTCTTCACCAAAAGACAGTACTCACTGGCCCATGCTGAGGTGTGAGGTTGGGACACTGGAGAGGAGGCAGCGGGGGAGGAGCGCTTCTGCTGTCTACCCTTAGGTCTTGCCATTTGTAGAACCTTCTCCAAAGACTTTTCCAGGGGACTCTACCTGGTCACCTGGTGTGAGGTCACCATCTCCAAACTTGTTTCCTTACCAGAGGCCCTCTTAGGAGAGAGCCTGCAGGAAGCTGCCTGGAGCTCCCGTGGGGAGCAGACAAGCGTCTCTACTTTTTCATCTAGCTCTAACAAGGGCCAGAACTAAGGACAGAGAGGACCAAAGAACGAGACCCTGTCCCAGCTTTGGTCCCTGTTACTTGTTGTTCTTGTTCCCTACAAGGCAGATGGGGGTCTCCAGTCATCACCCCAACAGGCCCCAGGCAACCAAGATTCCCAAGGCTTCTTCCTCAATGGCATCAATGACAGTCAGTCAGGTGAGTCCAGACAGGCCCTGCCCAGGGCCTTGCCCAGCCTCCAGCCCCTCCCAGGACCCCTCTAGTCTGCCTCTCCTTGGTTTCTCAGCCACTCAGTGGTGGGGAGAGAGTCTTCCTTGGGCAAAGGGATAGAAGCCATTATCCCTCTTCCCAGCCCTGCTGGCCCGTGTCCTCTGAGTCAGAGATGGAGAGCTCACTGGTTGTTAGGTGATGCTTTCGGGGCTGGGTACTAGCCATGTGCCTGAGGTTCTCTATCAAGGTGCCGGGAGATCCCCACCCTTCCCCAGGCTGAAGCTCTATGAGCAATGAGACCAGGGCTGGAAATCCCCACCCTGACCACTCCGTTTAAGCTGAGCCACGCCCCCAACCCCTCCCAGGGATACACCCAGTTGGGTCCTGGAAGCCAGACTTCCATAAGAACAGGACCTTGTGCTCAGGGCACCCAGGCAAGGAGAGCCGCTCCTCATACTGCATTCCCATGACAAGTTGGGGGAGCACTTGGGCTCTGATGAGAGGGAACAGGCCTGTGGAATCAGCAAAGGCTGTCCCCTTCCCTCCTGAAGGTGCAGCCCCTTCCCTAAGCATCTCAGACGCATCTGGGCTTTGGCCTGAATTGCTACAGCAAATGCCCGCAAGTCCTCCAAACCCACATCAGGACCTGGATTGCTGGCCTCAAGAACTAGGCTGTAAATTAGAGCAGCTCCAGGCCCAGATGAACAGGTAAGAACCTCCCTGGCTAGAGTGGGGCAGCTGCAAAGGATCCGGCTGGGTGTAGGCGCCGCCTCCTGGTAGCCTTGGGGCATCGCTGGGTGCCTGGCATGGTTTTAGAATGGCAGACACATTTAGCCTAAGTTTCTAATTCTATGTCACTAAGCATAATTCCCTGGATGGCTTCCTCCAGCAAACCCTAGTACATGCCAAGGAAGCGTCTTAGGGGAAGCAACACATCCATGTACAAGAACAAATTCCAGAGGTCCTGGGAAAGGGGGGTGTTTCTTGTGGATGGTGTAGTGAGGGCTTGAAGGCAAGGAAAGCAGCCCTTGGATTCAAATTATGTAACTCACAAGCTAGAGGATGAGCAAGCTCTGAACTTAACAGCTTGGTGCCTCAGCTTGCCATATTGTAAAATGACTGCAATTAGAATACCTACATCAAAGGATCATTAGGACTGAATGTGGTATGAACCATGCCTAGTCCCTGATGTCCTGAAAGACAAGGATGTGCTAAGGACAATCTGGGCAAAGGCTGTGGACCCTAGTTGGGAAATCACTTCAGATGGGCCCCAGGCTGCCACTTCACTCAGTGGGAAGAGGTCAGGTCACAAAATTGAGAGGTTTCTTTGGGATTTGAGTTGCTCTCAGAGCCCTGACTTTGACCATGTCTGCTCTGTCTGGCAGACTGGAGTCCCGCATGTCCTCAGACCTCAGCCGCATCCTACAGCTACTTCAGCAGCCACAGGGCCACACCAGCTACATCCTGGGTGCCCCTGCCTCCAGTGACCTGGCCTTGTTTCCTGAAGCTTCAGTGACTCGGAGTCCAGAGCCCAGGCTTCTGGTGGGACATACGCCCTCTGCACAGGTGAGAGATGAGGGGATCCGCAGGGTTTCCCTGAAAGCAGCTGCAGGTTTCTCCCACCCTCTACCTCGATGTGTCTGTGGCAGGATTAGAAGCTGTATCTCCTGCTGCCCTGTTTATAATTTACATCACCTGATGGGGCAGCCTGGACAGGGTGCTGGCAGAGTTCTGACTGTGATCACAGACCCCACAGCTCAGACGGGGACAAGAACCTGAGGTTCCCCCATCTCCCTGAGGAGGACAGATAGAGCTCTTGCTGGTTCCATCCCAGAGGTCAAAGTGGATCGGTATCCACTAGGGACTGGGGAGATGGCTCAGTTGGGAACGTGCTTGCCATGCAAGTATGAGGACCTGGGTTCGAACCCCACCACCCACCTAAAAAGATGGGCATGGTAGTAGTATATACATGTAATTCCAAGGCTGGGGAGATAGACAAGTAGATCCCTAGGGTTCACTGGCCAGTCAGTCAAGCATAGTTGACAAGTCCTAGGTCCTGTAAGAAACCCTGTTACAAAAAACAAGGCAGATATCTCATGAGAAACAACACCTGAGATTGACCTCTGTGTACTTATATACTTATGCACTGCACACACAAAAATATTCACACATGTGGGGGGGGGGGGGGAGGTGGTGCATGCCTTTAATCCCAGCACTCTGGAGGCAGAGCTAGGCAGATCTCTGTGAGTTCAAGGCCAGCCTGGTCTACAGAGAGAGATCTAGCACAGGCACAAAGCTGCACAGAGAAACCCTGTCTTGAAAAACCAAAAAACAAGCAAACAAACAAAATAAAACAAACAAAACAAAAACACTCATACTCACTCATATATACACAATACTCATACACACACACACCCCATACATACACATTCATGCACAAAATGAGGAAATATCTAGCCTGACCTGGAGGTGGGGTAGGGCTCCATACACAGTATATCTCCTCCTCTTTCGCCTCTCTCCCAGACCCTAAGCTATGGTGACTTGGACAAACATATTCGGAAGCCCAGGAGTTTCTCCCCCAGGATGCGTCACTTGGCTGTGGCAATGGACAAAACTCTGGTACCATCCTCAGAACAGGAACAGCCTGAGGGTCACCTGTCACCTCTGGCCTCATCTCTGTGTCCCCTGGAAGTCCAGGGACTTATCAGTGGCCCCCGCTTTCCCTCCCTTCCTGAACACCTCAGCTCTGTTCCCAAGCAGCTGGAGTTCCAGAGACACGGTTCAGATCCTGGCTTCACAAGGAGTTAGGGCCATTGGACCCCAAGGTAAAAGCCACCATGAGGGAATTGATAGACAGTGAGGTGGGAGTTAAGCCTCTTGGGGGAGCCAGACAGCCCTCTGATGGAACTCTGAAAACCATTTTCGCAGAGAAACTACAGACTGCTGAGCCAGGTGAGGATGGCCTGAGGGAAGAGGCTCAGGACTTGGCCCAACCCCTGGGGGTTCCATGTAACCAGCAAGCCAGGCAGAGGCTTACTTCACAGAGCCAGTGAAGAAGGGAGAAGTTTCTAACATTGAGTCTTGCTTAGGGCTGCATGTGATCATCTCCCAGCTCAGAATCATCCTTTGCCTCAGAAGCCCAGAACCAAGGCCAGGGTTGACCAGCCCTTTCACCAAAAGCCTCTAACATGGCTGGAGTTAGAGGTATCCTCTGTGGTGAACCTGAAAGACGGAGCTCCAGTCCCCAGCTCCTCTACCGTTCAGAGTTCTGTGACAACATCTGGGTCCCTTGGAGGCATGCAGTGTCACACAGCTAATAAAGTCTTGAACATTTCATGTTGGGCTAGATGTGTAACTTGTCTGAGCACCATCATGTCCATGCAGGTGTAAGTCCTTCTCACATGCAGCCTGTCGGAGACCTGAAGGTGGAACTGAGTCCAGGAGCTCCATAGCCCGAGGCTATCTCCAGATGAAGGAAACAGAGATATGGCCTAAGTGTCCATGGAGAATCATGACAATAGTCATTTAGCTCTCTACACAACCTCAGGGAGTGGACATTACTGCCCTCACACGAGAGATCTTGGGTTGGTAGCAGAGAAACTTACCAGAAACTGGGTTGCCCTCTGGGCATGCCAGAATTGTTCTGCTTTCTGATCTGGTGATGGGCACATGGATCTGTTCAGGTTAAAAAAAACATGTGCACTCCCATATATAAATTATATTTCAATAAAAAGTCAAGCTTAATATACTAGAAAAAGGAGAACATAATTCCAACCCAGACTATTGCACTTGAGAAACCTTTTAAAACAGCATTCCTTTTTTTCCCTCTGCATATAATTCTAATCTAACTCCTACCTCCATTTCCCCCTCCGTTTGCAGTATCTATTTGATGCCTCAGAGTCTGTTAGTGATTAGATCAGCACATACTCACAAGTGTTTACACAAACTGAAACCTTCAAGTTTTTGTACCCTTAATAAGACTTTGACACTAGTTCAAAACAACATATGGGGGCTAGGGAGATGGGTCGGTGGGTAAAATGCATGAGGACCTGAACTCCCCAAATCCTCATAAAAATCCCCGCAGTGCCGGGCGGTGGTGGCGCACGCCTTTAAGCCAAGCACTTGAGAGGCAGAGGCAGGTGGATCTCTGGGAGTTCAAGGCCAGTCTGGTCTATAGAGGGAGTTCCAGGACAGGCTCCAAAGCTATAGAGAAACCTTGTGTTGAAAAACAAAACAAAACAAAAAAACCCAAAAACAAAAACAAAAAAACCCAACAACAACAACAAAAAATCCATGTAGTAATGGTATACACTTGTAATGCTGGCACTGAGACAGGAAGAGGGATCTGGCCAGCCAATCCAGCCTAACTGGTGAAGTCCAGGACAATGAGAGATCCGTCTCAAAGGAGGTGGGTGGTGTTCCTGAAGAACAGCACCTGAGGTCGTCCTCTGGCATACACGTGTGTACAAATGCACTTGCTTTGTACCTCCTCACACACCTGCACACAAAGTAAAGTAGTTCGTGCCTGTAAACCCAGCACTTGGGAAGTTGAGGCAGAACAGCAGGCCAGGAGCCAGAACAACCAAACACGATAATCCAACCAGCCAGAAAAAACAACCAACGCAATTGCAGATGCTAGCAAGTATCTCTCAATAATAATCTTAAATACAAACAGCCTGAACTCACCAACCAAGACTTAAAAACCAAGTTCCCACTATCTGTTGTCTCCAAAGGACGCACTTCACTGGCAAAGATACCTACAGACTAGTAGTTGAAGGCTGGAAGTCAGTCTGTCAAGCAAATGGTCACATTGCATCTATAGTCAGAAAGCCCACACTCAGAGCTCGCTCCTTCTTAAGTCTGGAAGTCTAACTCGTGGAATGGTGAGTTAAGGTGAGTCTCCCCACCTCAGTGAACCTAATCTAGATAGTCCCTCCCAAGCACTGAAACTTGTCTCCTAGTCCATTCTAGAGTCTCTCAAGTCAGGAATATTAACCATCACAGGACGTTACAACAGATTGCAAAGAAATCCAGAGGAGCATTAGGGAATACTTAGAAAGTTTATATTCCACCCCTGAAAAAAATCTAGAAAAAAAAAAACATATATATGGATTCACCGTGGGTACCTGTACACGTGGTACACTTACATATACTCAGGCACACATAAATACACATAAAGATATATTTTTAATTGTGTTTTATTATACTGCCTAACAATTCAATACAACCCCTTTCAATATCGTTGAAAGCATTTAAATTTATAACGATGTATTTAGATCCAGGCTTTTCTGCATTTCAAACTCATGGCACATAGACATTTAAGGTTGGGTTTAGCAGAGTGAGGAAGGTAAGCAACTAATAGCCAGGTCCACTGAAAATCAATCCTAGAATTCGGGAGTCTTTCTAGTGTCTATAGGACAACGCAGGAAAGCCTGAATCAAGCTGGCCTGGCCCTGAACAGTTTAAGAGCGTCCGTAGGGCTGGAGAGGGTTCCCGTTTGGCACAGGCTGCGGTTTGCCGGGATTAGGGCGATGAAATAAACGCGGTAGGTACTCCATTAAGGTAGATTTGACACGTTACTCGCGACGGAGAGAGGCATTCAGAACAGCAGCAGCAGCAGCGAAAAAGTGACAGGCTTCACTCTTAAGACCCTTGGCCTAGAACTTGGAGGCGAGCCGAAGCGTACACTTGCCCCAGGCCACCCACGCCCCTATTCACCCGCACTGCGCCGTTATCCGTCTGACTGACATCTTGGCTAGCCAATGATCTTTGGAACTTCAAAAGAGCCCGCCTCCGGGAGTTGGGCGGGGCGAACAAGCAGAATGACAAACATTTCCGCCAATCGTGAGGAGGGCGCGGGTGCTAAGGCTCTATTGACCAATAAGAAGAAGGAACAGTTTGGAAAGGACGTATCCGGCAGCCAACGCTCGTCGTCGCTACGGGATCGCGTGGCTTCCGTTCCGAGAGGGCGGGCCGGCATCCCAAACGGAAGGTGGTAGTCGCTGCCGGAGCTTGTTTGAAACTGGTGGTCGGGCTCGGCGGAGTGTGTGTGTAGCAGAGGAGTCGCTGGAGGGCTAGGCCGTTCCGGAGCGCCCCGGCCCCGCCTCCTCTCGGACTCGCTGACCCAAGCCGGGCTCCCCGCCCGTCTCGTGCCCCAGCCCGCCGCCTCTCCGGCCGGCTTTGCGGCCCAGCCGCCACCATGTCCCTGCACGGCAAACGGAAGGAGATCTACAAATATGAAGCGCCCTGGACTGTCTACGCCATGAACTGGAGCGTGCGGCCCGACAAGCGCTTTCGCCTGGCGCTGGGCAGCTTCGTGGAGGAGTACAACAACAAGGTGGGTCGTGCAGGGGCTCCGCTTCCAGCTGGCAGGGAATGCTCGAGGTGGGCGGTAGCCCCAGATCCGACAACTCTCTTGCGAACTTGCTTTTATTGCAAGGGGGTGGTTCCTCTGTGGCCCTGTTGTTGAGGGTGTCACACTCACTACCTTATTTAATTTTGACAGCCGGGGAAACGGAGGCATAGGGTTGTGACATGCCTGAGGCACATAATATTTTTGGTGGTAGTAGCAGGTTTCAAACCGGAGTTTAAATCCCCCTAAGCCGCGCGTCCTCTGTCCCTCCCGTTTCCCCCACTTCTGCCGCAGTGCCTCTGTTGCTAGGCGGGGGGCGGGAGAGAGGCAGTGGAGGAAGATGCGGGCGCTTGGATTGGTGGTCGTGCATTCCTGGCCACGCGAGATTTCTGTTAGGGCTATTTATTGCAAGATCTTCCCCATCTCAGGTGTTTCTCATGGATACAGAGCCCTAATGCGAGGTTGTCATTGGTCATTGGTTTTGCTTCCCGATGTTCACCCTCCCCCCCAGTCTTTCCTTGGAAACCTTGGTCTGTGGCATTATCCCGCCATTATTTCTGAATAGAGGAAGATGACATTTGACCTGTTCTTTTCGTGGGTCCTTTCTCATTGGTTTGCAACATTGCTGGACATCCATCACTTCACCAAAACGCTGGTAGAGGCGAGAGCTTTTAAGCTGGTACTTCAGGATATAGTTTTGAAAGTGTTGAGAAGGATTTTCTTTCCCCAATCTCTTAACTTCATTCTTTTCTTTTAATTTGAGTTAAAAGAAGAAGAAATAAAAGAAAAAGAATGACAGAGATCAGAGCTCCTGAAAGCCTTGGTCAGTGGTGTTAAAAGCCAGTACTCTGGCGTACTCTTATGAACATCAGAATGGAGACAGGATGGTGGGAGGAGTGGAAGAAGTAGGTGGCTTAGGATTTAGCTAGACCACTTAAGCCTAGACCAAATTTGCATTGCATAGACCAGATTTTACTATTTCCAACCCACAGTGATAGAGGAAAGGGGTTCTGTTTTACGTGTGAAGGTTCAGATAAAAACATTTGAACATTTTAAGTTTGTTTATAGTATTTCAGGAGCACATGTATCTCTCTGGGTAAGGATCCCCATTTCTTTGGGGTCGTCTTTGAGAAATGGATGAAAGAGATTGATGTCCACTGCCTAGACATCACACATACACCAACAGTTTACAATCCCAGGGAGTGTGCCCTGATCTTCCTTTTCCTAAATGAGAACCGTATTTCTTTTCTCTGGTGACTCTTTCTCTCACAGTGGCAGAAAACCCGGGGCCGGGTTTCAGGGTCCAGGTCTGGGTAGTGTTAGTAAGGTTAAGACCACTACAACTATTATTTAAGAATTTGTGTAAGAAATAAATGTAAAATATGTCCATCAAATGACCATAGTTTTTTTTTCTCTCCCACACAAATTAAATTTTTTCCCTTTAAGTTCTTCCAGAGTCTTTTATCTAAGAGAGGAGACATTGAGTACCTGCAGAGGCCAGAAGAGGGTGTCACAGCGGAGCTGGAGTTACAGGCTGTTGTAAGCCACCCAATGTGAGTGCTGGGAACTGAACTCAGGTCTTCTGCACAAGCAGTGAGTGCTGTTATCTCCAGCACCTCATTTTAAAACTGAACATGTCCAGTGCCTCCTAAGAAGCAAATATGTAATAGAAAGTAACCCTCAAGCTGGGCCTGGTGACTCTCACCTGTAATTCCAGCACTTGAAAGATTGAGGCAGGAGAATTTTTATAAGTTTGAGGCTAGCCTGGGCTACATAGTGAGCTCCCAACCATTTGAGTTACAAAGTTTTGTCTCAAACAGAAAAAATAAAGTACTCCTCAGAAGCATGCATCTTTACTTTCATTATTTCTGTGAATAATGCACATTATATATTCATATCTTATGAGGTTATTATTTTTGAGACACAGCCTCATGTAGCCCAGGTAGGCTTTGAACTCCTTATCCACCTGCCTCTACCTCCCAAGTGCAGAAATTACCTGTATATACCACCACGTCCAGCTACCTTGTAAGTTTTGCTTTTTAAAAGAAAAGTGCTGTATCTCCTTTTTTGTTTGTTACCACAAGCTTCTTGAAGAAAGAAAATCTATCCATCCCAGGATACACAGTGCTCAGGTGGAACACAACAGTGGACATTTGTAAGTGGGGAATAAACGTCCATGTTATTCAAATCAGCCAACACTTGGAGTCATTAGATCACTGTCTTAGTTAGGGTTTCTATTGCTGTGAAGAGACACCATGACCACGGCAACTCTTACAAAGGAAAACATTTAATGGGGTGGCTTACAGTCCAGAGGTTCAGTCCATTATCATCATGGTGGGACATGGCAGCGTGCAGGCAGCTGTGGTGCTGGGAGAAGGAGCTGAGAGTTTTACATTTTGATATGCTGGCAACAGGAAGTGAACTGAGACACTGAGCGTGGCTTGAACATATATGAGCCCTCAAAGCTCTGCTCCATAGTGACACACTGCCTCCAACAAGGCCACACCTACTCCAAAGCCACACCTCCTAATAGTGCCACTCCATCGGAGTTTATGGGGGCCAATTACAGTCAAACTACCACAATCACTTTCCCACAACTGCTGATATAACCAAAATTAGCTGTGCATGAGGCCCTGGGTTCAATCCCCAGCACAAGAACAAAAGTTTCCTAACTAAATCAGCTGACTCATTACCTCATTTTACACAGAAAGAAACTGAGGCACAGAAGACAACTTACCGAAAGCCACACAAACTGGGAAATGGAAGGATTAAGATTATCACATGGGGGGGCCGAGGAGATGACTCAGTGGTTTAGAGCTCTTGTTGCTCTTGCAGAGAACCTGGGGTAATTCCCAGCACCCGCATGGTGGCTCGTAACCAGTTCCAGGGGAACCAACAGGCATGCATGAGGTATATATGCATACATGCAGGTAAAACATTCATACACATAAATAAATCTAATAAAAATTTTTGTTTAAAAGAGTACTACATGGCAAACACATACTTACATATAAACAAAATTTTAAAAATCAATCTTTAAAAAGCCGGGCAGTGGATGGTGCATGCGTTTAATCCCAGCACTTGGGAGGCAGAAGCAGGTGGAGCTCTGAGTTTGAGGCCAGCCTGGTCTACAGAGTGAGTTCCAGAACAGCCAGGGCTACACGGAGAAACCCTGTCTTAAAAAAAAAAAAAAAAGATAATAAATAAATAAAATAAGAAGAAAAATGAGAAAAAAATAAACTAAGAGTGGTGACATGTGCCTGTGTTCCCAGTAGATTCCCAACTTCAAGGCCAGCCTGGGATACATGACAAGTTTTTTGTTTGTTTGTTTGTATTTTAAAGTGCCAACATTTTTTTTTTTTCCGTGAGTAAAAATGACCCTGCTTCATAGCTTTCCTCTCTAGGGCTTTGTTTCCCATGCTGGAGAAAGTGTTGTGAAGTGTGAAGGACTGCAGAAGGCCCTGAAGGTAGGAGATGGAACAGGCGTGTCAGGACGGGACTGACAGTTGTCAGAATTCAGTTTTCCCAGCCTTCCCAAAGTATGTAAGGAAGAGCGTTAGGATGCAGGATCTAGGAAGGGGATAAGAAGGGTGTCTATGGCTGTAGATGCCGAACTCAAAAGAGCTGTGGTTCCCAAAATAGGACTTTGTTGGACAAAGTAAAAGAAAATCAGTCTTTTGGGACAAGAAGAGGAAGCACAGGTTGGCAAGTACTTGGGAGCTTGAAGCAAGGGAAGCACGAGGTCAAGGCTAGCCTGGGCTACAGAGCGAATTTAAGGCTAGCCTGGTCAACTTAGTGAGACCCTGTCCTAGAAGGTAAAAAGAGACCTAAGGATGTAGCTGAGTGGGTAGAGTTCTTGACTAGTATGTATGGTGATGACCTGGATTCAACCTCTTGTGCAGAAAAAAAGAAAAATTACATTGAAAAAGAATAGAATAGATGGTGGAAAAGGAGGCCTATGTATAGGCATCATCGGAGAAGAGCTCCCATCAGAAAAAGGAGATGAAAAGGCCTCAGATCTGTAGTTAAAGAACTGAGGGAAAGAGTTGGCATGGTAAGTTCAGATGTTCAACCTCAGTAATACAATGCTGTAAAAATAAAGCACCATTTTTCCTGTCAGATTAGCAAGAAAGTTATTTTTATTTTTAATGTTTACAGACGTGTGGGGATAGGCACTCATTTACTGTTAATAAAAGTATAAATGGAGCCGGGCGGTGGTGGCGCACGCCTTTAATCCCAGCACTCGGGAGGCAGAGCCAGGCAGATCTCTGTGAGTTCGAGGCCAGCCTGGTCTCCAAAGCGAGTTCCAGGAAAGGCGCAAAGCTACACAGAGAAACCCTGTCTTGAAAAACCAAAAAAAAAAAAAAAAAAAAAAAAAAAGTATAAATGGAAGCAACTTTTAAATTCTCTTTTAATTAATTTTTTCATTATCATTATAAAGAAGGTTTTGTTGTGACATTTGCATACATATCACTACATTTTGTTGTTATTTGTCCCTCCTACTTCCCTTCCCTGTCTCCCCTTTCTTTCTTACTGGTCTCCTCTTCTCCCCAAGTAATCCTCCCACTTCTGCTTTCATATCACATACTTTCCATTTCCCTCTCTCGCTCCCCTTCCTCCCTTTAGACCTCTTGTCTCATAGTCCCTTTTCTACTTTTGTATCATATGTACAGATGTGTGTGTTTATATGTATATCTATATAAATTTAAATGTCGGTATCACATATGGGAGAAAACATTATTTGTCTTTCTGAGTCTGATATGTTTCTCCTAACATGATGATGATATTGGATTCCACCGATTTTCCTGCAAATATCATTTTTTCTTACAGCTGAATAAAATTCCATTGTGTTTGCATTACATTTTCTTTATCCAGTCACCTGCTGATGGACCTCTAGGTTGATTCTGCATCTGCTGTTGTGAACAGTATGGCAGTAGTTATGGATGTGCAAGTATCTCTGTGTGTGCTGGCAGAGAATCCTTCTGGTACATACTCAGGAGTGGGTCATATGGTAATTCTATTTTTAGGGGTTTATTCTTCCCCCTTGTTCTCACTGTGTAGTCCAGGCCTTGAACTAGGAGTGACTCTCCTGCCTCAGTTTCCCAAGTGCTAGAATTAGGATATGAGCCACCATGTCCAGTTTATTTTTTAGCTTTTTGGAGAACCTCCACATTGCTTTTCACAGTGGCTGCATCAGTTTACGTTCCCAGCAGCGCTGTGTAATGGTTCCGCTTTCTCCACACCCTGGCCAGTAGTTGTTGGCACTTCCTTTATGACAGCCTTTTGATGGGGTGAGATGGAGTCTGTAAGCAGTTTTCATTTGTATATTCAAGTATTTGTAAGCCTTTTGTCATTTTTACTTTGAGAACTGCCACTTGAATTGGTTTTCCCATTTGTTGATATGACTTAGGGGTTTTGGTTTCTCAGAGTTCTTTATAGCCCCTGTCAGCTAGCTGTGTAGTTAGCAGGTAGAACAATTACACTTATAGGAATCTGTTCAATAAAAGCACACACACACACACACACACACAATTAAATAAGGATAGTCATTGTTTATGGTAGTAAAACAATGGACTGTAACCAAAGTAAATGAACAGTTGAATAAATTTTGGTGTGTTTACCACAGTCTGCTGTAGAAGAAGAGATGGAACTATTTGTATTGACTTGAGAAGATATTCAAGTTGTGGAATAAATTATGTGGAACAAGTCTATGTTTTGGATTTGTTGTTTGTTTTTGTTATAAAGAACCTACCACACCCCCCCCCCAATGTATGCAAATACATGGAAAATAATTGGAAAGATACGCATCAACTAGTCATTGTAGAATGTAGTAAGAGTTTGCCAACATTAGTCAGCGCAAGAAATTCAGCACTGGAAAGTTCTTGCAGTGGTCTGGCTGTCGGCTCTCTTAAACTCCAAGGTGCTTAAATATTTTTTTTTTTTTTGAAACTGTGTGTCTATGCATTGGATGCCAAAGGTTATTGACAAGTGTCTTTCCCAGTTGCCCTTCATCTTATTTTTTGGGACAGGATCTTGAGCCTGGAGCTTGGATTCAGCTAGAATGACTGACCAACAAGCCCTAAGGATCTTCCTGCCTCCACCTCTCCAGAGCTGAGATTACAGGTGTGCCCACACCAGACTTAATGTGGGTCCCTGGGAATTATACTCAGGTTCTCATGCTGGTGAGACAAGCAATTTACTGACTGAGCCATAACCCCTACCCACAGATTTTTACCCTAAAACATGAAGCTAGTTTGGTTCAATTTTGTCCTCACAGAGACTGACACTACTTTCATTTTTTTTATTAGCATGATTTAAGGTTCTTTAATCTCAAGAAACAGGATAGTTTTTAGGGTGGGAACTGGAGAGATGGCTTAGTGCTTAAAGGCACTGGCTGCTTTTGTAGAGGACCCAGATTTAATTCCCAGCACCCACATGGCAGTTCACAACCATCTGTAACTTTAGTGCCAGGGAATCTGATAGCCTCTTCTGGCCTCCTCGTGCACCATGCTTGTAAATGGCGCACAGACAGACATACAGACAAAAATTCATACACGTAAGACTCAGGAGATCTAAGTGAAACTACATAAAACAGTAATGTCAGTGTCTCCTGAGGCACTATGGGATTAGCTGTCAAATGTGTGGTGTTGGTAAGTACTGAAAGATAAAGGACAAGGAACACTGTCAGTGCTTCGTGGAGAAAGTAAGATCAAATGTTGAAGCTCGTACATTGGGAAAGGCAGTTACACACAATTATTCAGGTAGATACCATGACCATCTCAACTCTACAGTTTGGGACACAGGATTAACAATAGTAAGGGCCTGCAGCTAGTGAATGGTAAGGAGAGTCCTGGCAGCCTGATACTCCTGATTAGGCAGGATGGGGCTTGATGGAAAGGGAGAAGGTGAAAACGATGATTAGATGAGGAATGTGGAAAATAAGGTAGGTTAGCATTGGGTTGCAGAGGGCCTTGAATGGTGGGTCTAGAGGACCTTAAAGTGGGAAATGTTCATAGATTCTGATATTTGAGGTTTGGGGAAATGTCTCATGATTTGAAAGGCAGCTTTTGGAAGTGAGTGTAGACCCCCCTTTTTCCAGTTTCTCTTTAAGGTGTTATCTGCCTACCTATGGTTTTTCACTTACACCTGGGAGGAAGACTGCTTAAATGCACTTTCTCCCCCATCCAGACCAAATTCCAGGATTGGAGAATTGCCTGTTAACAGTGATTGGCAGTGTATTGCCCTTGGCTTCACTTTTATTGCTCTGGAGTGACAGAACACAGCATTCTGTCTTCTTTTGCATCCATATTCCTTATCTCCCCTACACATATATAGACCTTGCACATCTATGCCTAACTTCTAAAAAAATCTGTTGATGACTAAGTGTATAGATACACATAGGAAAATCCTTTCAAATGTACAAAAACCACTGATAACTAATGTACTAAGATTAATACACGCTGGAGAGATGTCTCAGTGGTTAAGAGCACTGGCTGTTCTTCCAGACGTCCTGAGTTCAATTCCCAGCAACCACATGGTGGCTCACAACCATCTGTAATGAGATCTGGCACCCTCTTCTGGCCTGAAGGGATGTATGTAAGCAGAACACTGTATACATAATAAATAAATAAATTTAAAAAAAAAAAAAAGATTAATACACAAAATAAACTTTTTATATAATAGCAAGAAACAGTTGAAAATGGAATTTTAAAACCATGCTAGGTAGTTTAGGGGAAAAATACAATTAAAACCTTAAAAGATACATATGCAGTAGCATACAATTACATAGAAATAAAGTTAATAAAAGAGTTGAAGATCAGGGCTGGAGAGATGGATCAGCGGTTAAGAGCACTCGCTGTTCTTCCAGAGGTCCTGAGTTCAATTCCCAGCAACCACATGGTTCACAACCATCTGTAATGAGATCTGGCGCCTTCTTCTGGCATGCATGCAGAACACTGTATACATAATAAATAAATAAATCTTTTTTTAAAAAAAAAAAGAGTTGAAGATCTGCACATGCAAAACTTTAAAGCATTGCTGAATAAGCTAAAGGTGACCTAAATAAATAAACTTAAGTTGGCAGTTCTTCCCAAACTGACCCATAGTTTCAAAGAACCTCATAGGCTTTTTGTACATTTTAAAGAGCTGCTCTTAAAAATTCATACACAAAGGCAATAGCATAGAAGAACAGAAATGGTATCAGAAGTATACCAAGAACTACAACTCAATGAGAAAACAACTCGACCCGAGAAAAAGTAGAGCAAACCCTCGGAAGGTGGAGACGACATGAAACTGTCTCCAAACCCTTTGTTTCTTTGTTTTTTTCAAGACAAGGTTTCTCTCTCTAGCTTTGGAGCCTGTCCTGGAACTTGCTCTGTAGACCAAGCTGGCCTCTGAACTCACAGAGCTCTGCCTGCCTCTGCCTCCCAAGTGCTGAGATTAAAGGCATGTGCCACTATCCGGCTCAAATACCCCTTTTAAGTAAAGTGAAAATACTTTTTACTACACTGTTATGCCAGATATGTATAGTTAATTTGTTAAAACCCATAGAATGGAGCTGGGCATGGTGGCACACGCCTTTCATCTAGGCACTTGGGAGGTAGAGGTGGAATTTCTGTGAGTTTGAGTTCCTACATAGCCCGGTCTATGTAGGAAGACCTTGACTCAAGAAGCCAAAAGGGAGGCTGGGAATGTAGCTCAGTTGATGGAGTACTAGTCTAGCATCCATGAAGCCCTGGTTCAGTCCCCAGCACTTGATTAGATAGGGTATGAGTGTACATTCCTGCAATCCCAGCACTTGGGAGGAGACGGGAAGATCAGATTGGGGGTGAGGTTAGTTCAGGATTTAGAGGCAGAAAACCTGTATTCAGATGTCTCTCTGTCTTTTTCTACCTTTGTAGTGTTGGCTGTGGTGTAGGGTCAGTCTAGGGTCCTGTCACTCTGATAACTTGACTGTGCACTTGAATGTAGTACAGTGTTAAGACCTTGCCACTGACCAGGAATCTGATGTGTATGACTGATGTATTTGATGCTGCTGAAGAAAAACAAGTACTCATGTGGTCCAATTTTGGTGTGCTGCAGGTTCAGCTTGTTGGTTTAGATGAAGAGAGTTCAGAGTTTATTTGCCGAAACACCTTTGACCACCCATACCCCACCACAAAACTCATGTGGATTCCTGACACAAAAGGCGTCTATCCAGACCTTCTGGCGACGAGTGGTGACTATCTCCGCGTGTGGAGGGTAAGCAGGTGCTTTATCAGCAGACAGCAGTGTGAGGTCCCAAAGAACGGACAGGTAGTACCATTGCAGCATGGAGGAAACAAAGGAAATGCATCTGAACTGATCTTGTTTTAGCTCCGAAGGTTTTCTAGGAAATCTAGTCCAGATGCCTGCTGCAGAGTCTTCTGCTGGCCTCAGTGAACCTTGAAACTTGAGATTCATTTAACCTGGTGTGGTGGGGACAGACTTCTTTCTGTGAGGCAGAGAACACTTGCGACCTCCTACTCCAATGATAGTCCAGATATTTTTGAGTAAATACATCCAGGCTTTTGATTCTAATGTGTTCCGTGTGTGAATCTTCCCTTTTCAGCTGAGCTCAGCACAGGGGCATCCACTGTGCTTGGGAGTCTAGGGTCCAGCAGACAGGCTGTGTAGAGCTCCAGAAAGAGGTGTGGGTGAAAACCGAGAGAGCAGAACTAGAAGGGCAAGTTCTGAAAGAGGTCCCAATTCAGGAGTTCCTTTGGGTTTTAATCCCCCTTATTATAAAGGTATTTTCTCCCTTGTCCTAGATTTTACTAAGCAGGACTGTGTGTGTGTGTGTGTGTGTGTGTGTGTGTGTGTGTGTGTGTGTGTGTGTGTGTGTGTGTGTGTGTGTGTGCGCGCGCGCGCAGACAGGCTCATGTCTCAAATTATTGTCCCTTCAGGTTGGTGAGACAGAGACTAGGCTGGAGTGCTTGCTAAACAATAACAAGAACTCAGACTTCTGTGCTCCCCTGACCTCCTTTGACTGGAACGAGGTGGATCCTTATCTTTTAGGTGAGGGCTTTGATTTCCAGTTTGAAGAAAATGAAGATACATTTCCTCAGATTTGGGCTGGGTCTGTTTTTATGGGGGTCAGGGGACTTTGAGGCACATATCTTGTCCTAAAATAGCCAAGGGTGAAATGGGCTAAATATGGAAAGTAGTCATTAATTTCTTATGGGGAATGCAGCTTCCCATGTGTGTCTATCACATCTCTCCAGCTAAAATCTAAAGTCTTGCAGTTGTGACGGTACACACCTCTAATACCAACACATGGGAGGGGCAGGCTGGATGATCTTGAGTTCAAGGTCAGCCTTAACTATATCAGGGTATTCTGTTTAAAGAAATTCTCCCCACTCCACAAGAAACAAGTCAGTGCTGAGGACATGCTGTGGCCTCTTGTCCCCTGGGCGAAGCAGAGGGAGTGGGGAGTCACGTGGCACCTCCCTCATCTTGCTCTGGTGTCTGCAGGTACCTCGAGCATTGACACCACCTGCACCATCTGGGGCCTGGAGACCGGGCAGGTGCTGGGACGAGTGAACCTCGTGTCTGGCCACGTGAAGACCCAGCTGATTGCCCATGACAAAGAGGTAATGGTGGCTTCCTCTCCTCCTTTTCTGCAGGTGCTTTCTGTACCTGCGGTGAGAGGTCGTCCTGTTCTCTCACTGTTTTGAAGGTTATGTAGATCATAATGTCAACATGTGTCTTGTCTAAGTTGAAATTTAATGTGTTAAAACAGAAAACAACACTTACAATTGAATGCACCTTTTTAAAATGTCTTATTTATTACTATTATTATGAGAGAGAAAGTAAGTGTGTGTGCATGTGCAGGCACATGTGTACCACAGTGCATGTGTGGAGGCCAGAGAACAACTTCTGGGAGTCATTTGTCCCCTTCTGCTCCGGGTTCCAAGGATTGAGCTCAGGTTGTCAGACTTGCAGAGCAGGTCCTTTTACCCTGTGACTGAGCTGCCTCACCAGCCCACGGCATTATTAAATGACACTAACAGCTTCATCTATAGTCTGTCATTTTCCTTTCATACTAGAGGTTGCTGGGGGTATTTTTTTTAATTAATTATTTGGGAATCTAACATGTGCCTCAATCACGCTCACCTCCTATTCTTCCCATGTCCACCTCCTTCTACCACGACACCCCCCCCTCCCTGCCCCATAAAAAACAAAACACAAAAAAGTCCATTTCGTGTTGTCTATGAATTCCCTGGAGCATGGTTCAATTCCTAGTGTTCAGCCCCCCAGGGGAGGATGAGTCTTTCTCTGCCTGCATCCACCACCAAAAGCCATCAGCTGAGAGAGAGCCTTGTGGTGTCTGGAGTGGGCAGGGTTAGCTCTTCCACATCCACACCACCACCACCCATGCCTCAGCAGTGCTGTGGGCTGGTGGGGACGAGGCCAGCGGTTAATAATTTTAGAGTAATACTTCTCTCTGAACATGATGGCTTCTTGGAGATGGGGGGAAACAGGAAGAGGGGAATCTCATGACAGACGATCCTAATTAGCTGTTTTTCTCTAAAACCATTCTGTGAGAACTTTGGTATGTTTACACTTAATCTTTTTAGTTTCAGTCCTGTTTGGAGGCAAATATGTCTCATTGATATTGTTTCTTCTGTGTTTATTGGAAGCTGAGGGGGTATCCTGGTGATTTTGGGGGAAGTAGGCATAACTCTGCTCCCACAGATATGTCTGTGTTCTTGTTTCCTTTTCTGCCCCTTTATTTGCACAGTGAATGGTATCAGTATTTGTATAAAAAAAAGGGGGTTGGGGATTTAGCTCAGTGGTAGAGCACTTGCCTAGCAAGCGCAAGGCACTGGGTTCGGTCCTCAGCTCTGAAAAAAGAAAAGAAAAAAAAGAAAAAAGATGCCTTCAGGTCATCAACCATGTGCCAGGTTGCCATTCTGAGGGGTTGATCTTTAGTGTTGCACTCCTGAGAGTAAGATCTGTAGGAAGGCACTGGGACTTGACTCCTCTAAGCTAAGAGTGTGCTCTGCAGAGATCACCACTAAAGGAACTTGTGGAAATGTCAAGTAGAAAGGCCTCTGTTCTCTGCTGGAGCCAACCCAAAGGAGGGAACTACTCAAAGTGTCTAGGAATAGAGCTTGGTGATGGAATGCTTGCCTAGCATCCATGAGGCCCTTGGTTCAGCCCCCATTATGGGGGAAGAGGATCTTGCAAGAGTAAACCTAAGTGATTTAAACCAAGAGAATGCTTACGCAGTGAAGGAACTGAGAGGGTCGGAGCAAGGGGCTACCACTAACTACAGGCTGAAGGTTGTGGCTCCTAGAGTCTGGGTTTACCTGGCAGAGATGCTTCTAAACAGAGAGAGGAAGGATAAATACTCAGCTGCTGCTTGTGTCCATCATCCAGTTTCCCACCTTGGATTTCTTTGGCTGAACCACCCAGAAGCAGCCAGCAAACCTGCGACCCAGCCAAACTTGGCCTATAGGAAACAGGTCTCATTCAGTACAAAGAAGAGCAGGAGAGCCTGGCATGGATCAGAGCAAATGATAAACTAGAAAGGAGCCTGCGATGGCAGCTCTGCCTGAGGAAAAATCCTGGCGGGGGAGGGGCGTAGGGGGGAGTGTAATGACTGTCTGGTGGATGTAGCAGAGATGAGTTTAATACGTTGGGAGTTACCACCTTCCCTTTTCCCTGATGAACTGTATAGGTGGGGCACTGATGAAGGAGCAGTTACTTAAGCTGAGAGAGCTTTGTGCTTTGAGCCATACTCCAGAACCAAGAGGAAAACAGATGCCAAACACAAAACACACTTTTTAGGATCTTGGGTAGTAATGACAGCTGACATTGAGATGGAGGAATAAGTAGAATTTCTCACTAAAAATATCAGATCTGGAGCTGGAGAGATGGCTCAGCAGTTAAGAGCATTGATTGCTCTTCTAGAGAACCCAGATTCAATTCTAGCACGCACATGGCAGCTCATAACCATCTGTAACTATAGTTCCAGGGGATCCTATGCCCTCTTTTGGCCTCTATAGGCACTAGCCACTCATGTAGTGCACATACATACGAGCAGCCAAAACACTCATACAGATACAATAAAAATCTTTTTTAAAAAAAATGTAGTTCCTCTAGACGCTCTGGATACTAAGGGACAAACACTGCTAATAGCTGCCCATCTATTTCTGTTCAATATGCTAAGCCCCCTTTTCTCTAACCATGAAGAAATACTTCTCTATGGTAAAGATTAAGAGTAGATCACTCCGGGCGGTGGTGGCGCACGCCTTTAATCCCAGCACTCGGGAGGCAGAGCCAGGCGGATCTCTGTGAGTTCGAGGCCAGCCTGGGCTACCAAGTGAGTTCCAGGAGAGGCGCAAAGCTACACAGAGAAACCCTGTCTCGAAAAACCAAAAAAAAAAAAAGAGTAGATCACAAGGGCCAGATATACTGACACATGCCTGCACTCCTATCACTGAGTGGTAGATGCAGGATCAAGAGTTCTGGGTCATCTTCTGCTACATAGAAACTTTCATGCTAATCTGGGCTACATGAGACTCTGTTTTAAAACAATAGGAAAAAAGTGATTAAAAGGGGATCCTGGGTGTCTATAATTCTAGCACTTGGGAGGTAAAGATGGAACAGTCTAAAGTTTGATACCATCCTGGGCTACATAGCAAGACCCTATCTTCTTAGGTATGGCACACTGAATAGACAGAGGTTTTGTCTAGTGCTGTTCAGCTACATAAAGACCACAGCCCCTACCTCATAGCAAGTTCAAGGCCAACCTAGGCCATATGAGATTTTTTTTTCTTCCTTTTTTTTTTTTTCTTGTTTTCTCTAACTGGATGAATAGACTGGCTTTAATAAAATTATAACAAGTTGGGACAACCTTATCCTATCTGGCTAGACTAACAGCTTGTTTATTAAAACAATCAGAGTGACAAATCTTCACAGTGTGCAGAAGATCAACCCACAGTATCTCCCCCTTTCAGTCTAATTAAAACGGAAGGTTTTAACTTTAACATAGTAAAATTATATACAACAAACAGTTATCAAGTAAGAATTATAGTTATGATATCTAGTCTATTTGTATTTGACAAAATCAGAGAAAACATTTAATTATCCATCTTATCTTGGTGAATCTAAAGTTTCATATCTAATTTGCCCTTTATTATAATTAAGGGAAACTGTAATTATAACTATCTAGTCTTTAACTCCGTCAAAGACCTGAGAAGTAAATAATATTACCTAAGTAAGCAAGAAGTGCAAGCAAGTGACTTCCAAAAAATGCAAGAAATAACAGAAACAGCTGGCTGCCTGGACAGTCACTCAAAGTTTCTCTGCGATGTTGGGGCATCCAACTTTGACTTATAGGTCTAGAATATCTGACAGACCTTTTTTAGAAGCAGGAAAATTTGAAGGATTGTTTTACCCTGTCTTGGCAAAGTTCAGCAGTTGCTTTTCTTTGTGTCCTACTTGTCCAGACTGCATGGCGTACTTACTGTCAGCAGTTGAGGCAAGGGTGATCTCTTGCCCAATAGGTCAGCTTTGCCAAAAAGAAAACAAACTTCATATGTAGTGTCTTGGGTGCCCATCATCCTCTTGGGAGTAGATCAGTGCTGCCAGGAGCAGACATGTCTCACAGTCAAGAAAAACCTTAGGTTATTAAAACATTTAAAATGCCATATTCTGTAGGTCTTTGAAGTGTTTGAAGATTATCTACCTAATAGAAATATATCTTTGTATACCTAGAAAACCTAACTAACATGACTATAAGTTTGACTATTATAGATGACTAAATATTAATCTATTTTTAATTATACATTACACTTTTAAATGAGCTGCATAAACACAATACCTTAAACAAGAGTAGAACTATATATGCAGTATAACAAAATTGACTTTAAATTTGTATCAGTAAACTAAAATCCATAACAATGTAAAATATTTTGAGATTAACAGTTGTTTTTTGGATTAAAGTAGATTCAGTAATCTACTCTTTTCCCCATCATTTCTTTTTTTTTTTTTTTTTGGTTTTTGGTTTTTCAAGACAAGGTTTCTCTGTGTAGCTTTGCGCCTTTCCTGGAACTCGCTTTGGAGACCAGGCTGGCCTCGAACTCACAGAGATCCGCCTGGCTCTGCCTCCCGAGTGCTGGGATTAAAGGCATGCGCCACCACCGCCCGGCTTCCCCATCATTTCTATATCATATTCCCCTCTCTTATTTAGAAAGAGATTGACTGACCAATAACAATTTATAATCAACCCTTTAAACAAAGATAAACATCCATAATCTGTTTTTTGGAAATGTGGGCATAGTTCTCCAGACTACTTCCTGCTGATTGGGAGTGCTGGTAATTTTTTGGGAATCCTGAGAAAATTTAGAATAATTCTTAAGTCATAGCTGTAGTATTCTGTGAGGTTTGATCATCTTAGTCAACAGCCTTGAAGTTGTTTTGGATGCTGTATCATCTGGGCCATCATTTTTATTGTTGTCTGGTCCTCTTGTTCTGAAAATACATAAACTTTTAAGGATAACATACATATCTGTATTAATACAAATATAAACTGTGTATTTTACATAAGGCAGTCAAAGATTTTTTGTTTTAAGTCTGAGCAGGTAAAATACATGTTACAGATCTTGTAGTTACTTTAGATTTATTTTTCCATGTCTGTAATTATGATTTCAGGGGGTCTTCATTGATCAAACCTAATTTTCCTTAACCCAGAATGAATCTATAGCCTCTCATTTCCTGTGAAATAAAAACATATCCTCTCCCCCAAAGTGGCATAACTTTTGACTTGGATTTTGGAATCAAGAATTTTTAAAATATATAGGTTGGTTTAATCCAGCAGCTTTTATAATTAAATGTCTCAGAACAGTCAAAATTTTGGTTTTTCGAGACATGGTTTCTCTGTGTAGTTTTGGTGCCTGTCCTGGATCTTGCTTTATAGACCAGGCTGGCCTCGAACTCATAGAGATCTGCCTGGCTCTGCCTCCTGAGTGCTGGGATTAAAGGCGTGTGCCACTGCCACCTGGCTTAACAGTCAAAAATTTTAAAGATAATACAATAATATACATAATGCAGACTTTCTGTGCATTTTCCATTCTTACATGTCCCATTTTCTTTATACTACTTTACTCTCTCTTTTAAGGACTTTATTATTTTAAATCTAAGACTGTATATACTCTTTCTCTTCTCTCTCCCAAGCTACATACTTTTTTTTTAAACATACTGTGACCTGTTTAGAGGCCTTTTTGTCTGAATCTGTTTTTACTGTGTATCTGTAATCTTTCTGTCTGCATGAGCAAAACCACAAATCCGTCATGCAGCACTCGAAGCTCAAGTCTAAATGCAGCAGCTGAGAACCGCCTCTCTGTACTGAGGCCCTTTTGAGAGGTTATGGAAACCTGCCATGCCGCTTAGCTCATGGTGGTTGGTGGCCAGCTCCATTTCGCAGGCACTGAGGCCAGCATGAGATACTAGGAGGCCCAGTGTGGCTCCATTTCTGTGCGTTTAGAACCTTTTTTAAGGTTTCTCAGGTTTTATGTGGATATATGTCCCATGTTGGGCGCCATATGTAAAGGTAGGCTTTTTTCTGTCCTGCCCTGTCCCACAGCTGCTTCCCAAATTATCACACAGAGGCTTATATTATAAATGCTTGACTGATGGCCCAGGCTTATTACTAACTAGCTCTTACATTTAAATTAACTCATTTCTATTAATCTCTACATTACCACGTGGCCTGTAGAGCCTTTGGCATCTTGCTTCTTGGGCAGCTGCCTTGCATCTCTCCCCACTTCACCTCCTCTCTGTATCTCTATTTAACTTTCCTGCTCAGCCTTATTTTCCTGGCTGTAGGACAAATCAGCTTTTATTATCAACCAATGGGAACAGCATACATTCACAGCCTACAGAAGGGTCCTCCCACAGCAACACACTTTTAATTCCAGTACTCAGAAGGCAGACACTATGAGTTCAAGGCCAGCCTGGCCTATACAGTGAGACCTTGCCTTAAAAAAAGAATTAAATAAATAAATAAATAAATAAATAAGTAAATAAATTTTCCTTATAGGGCTGGGACTATAAACTCAGTAGTAGAACAATTGGCTACATGATGGAGCTTAATCCCAAACACTGAAAATAAATAAGAAATAAATAAGATCAAATATGTCCAGGGGGTATATATGTAAGGTACAGTGTCAGATATTTCTTTTAAGAAAATATGAGGTACTATTGCTGCTTAAAAAGGAAAGACAGAAAATCAGAGCTCTTCTAATCAAGCTTCTCGAGGGTTCTACTCAGATCTGACTAGAGCATAGGAGAGCTCTGTCCCTTAGCAACCTAAAAAACATAACCTCAATGTGCATGTTCTCCCCGCCCTACACTTTCCTTTTTTCAGATAAGTCCGTGTTAAGTTGCCCAGGCTAGCTCCAAACTCATTTTATAGCCAAAGCTGGCCTCAAATTCAGGAACCTGAGTATTGGGATCACAGGCATATACTGTCTATCATCCAGCTCAAATTATTTTGTTTGAAATTGGATTCAGTCCCAGTGGCTGCTTACATCACTGGGTATTCCCTTCTGAGACTATGCTGGAGTGCTTGCAATCCACTGGAAGGTGTAAGGTACCTACTGCTACTGCTGCAAATAACCAGGTACAAGACTGTTCCTCAGAAATTGCAGAATTCATTATTTAGGAATCATAGATAAGGTTTCACACTGGTTTTCCACTCCTGAATGTCACACTTTAAATTCCCAGTTCTGTATTTCCATTTAGCAGAGACACTATAGAAAATAAATCATTGCATCTTCTCAAAATGAAAAAAAAAATTCAATTCTTCAAGAGTTTTTCTCTTTTTTTCTTTCCTTTCTTATGTATTTATTTGTTTATTTCGGTATTTTAAGTGTTGATGATCACGAAATCTTCTGGTTTCTCTTCATTATAGACTTGCATTGCTGAGTATTGCTTTGACTTCTGTTCCCTGAGGGCGCTTGGACAGTGAAAACTCTCCTCACACAATTGACCATAACTTGAAATTTTTTGAACAATATTAAGTACTTTCATTTCCCGGGTATGAAGTATACATCAGCACTGAACTTGTAAAGCCACTCATCCAAAAAGTGAAAGAACAGAGTCTGCAAGTCATCTCTTTGGGTTTCTACTTCTACTGTTTGGAGGGTTCCACAGTCCCTGTGTCTGTCATGTAACCATGGCCATGGCACCCTGTTCAGATGCTTCCTCCAGAGCATATCCCCGTGTGTGTAACTGGACATCAGCCGTGGGATCCAGATAGTCATACTTTGGATTACTTGTCCTTGATTGCCTTCTGTTCCTCCATCACACTGTATCTCTGACATGCTCGACTTCTTATTTTATTTTTCAAGATTTATTTCTTTTTATTTTTATGTGTATGGGTGTTTTGCCTACATGTATGTCCTTGCACCACATGTGTGCACAGTACGAGGAGGCCAGATCCTCCAGAACTGTAGTTACAGACCACTTTTAGCTGAATCTGGGTCTTCTGCAAGAGCAACAAGTACTTTTAACCACCAAACCATCTCTCCAGCTCCCAGGTGCCCTTTTAAAAAACACAAAAACAGAAATCATAATTACCTTTTTCTTACAAATGGATCTCAGGTCTAGGTTTTATAGCAGAACCATGATGTAGTTTGTCATGAACCTGCATCTGATTGCATAGAAGTGAACCCACCAAAGCCTAGAAAATAGCTGCCTTCGGACTTCGGGTTTGTAGGTTTAGTTTTATCCCAGGGTTTTAAGGGGAAGAGTGGAAGCCAGGCATGGGAAGAAGCCAGCCAGGACCATGATCTTGACTCTCTGAGAAGCCACTAACTTACTTGCTTCTGTGTCATAAGCTGGGTTTCATAGGAACTGGGAAAAGGAGACGGCTGATGTAGACCTGAAGCTTCTTACCAACAGGTCTATGATATTGCATTCAGCCGAGCCGGAGGGGGCAGGGACATGTTTGCCTCTGTGGGTGCGGATGGCTCTGTGAGGATGTTTGACCTCCGCCATCTGGAACACAGCACCATCATTTACGAAGACCCACAGCATCACCCACTGCTTCGCCTCTGCTGGAACAAGCAGGACCCTAACTACCTTGCCACCATGGCCATGGATGGAATGGAGGTAAGCCCCATTGGCCCTGTCCCTTGACTCCAGTCTGCCTAGTGTATTTACAGGAATAGCTCTGAGATGGTGGCAGTTTTGTGCCAAGTAGATCTTTAGAAATACCTGGAAATGTTTTTGGTTGTCGGGAGTTAAGGAGGAAGCAGAGTGTTCTGGCATCAAGTAGGTAACGACCAGGGAGGCAGCTGCTAATCATCCTGCCATGCACAGATAGTCCCCAAGAGTTTCAGTCTACTCAGAACGACAAAGGGACCTAGACTGAGGAACCCGATCAACACAAAGGACTGTGTTCTGCTTCTCCCTGCTTCTTTGGTGAAGCAGAGTTTCTGTAGCTCAGGCTAGCTTAGAACTTACTGTGTATCCTAGGCTAGCCACAAACTTGCTACAATTGCACTGCTTTTGTGTTACGGATTTCTGATACAGTGGTGATGTAGCTTAGTGACAGAGTGCTTGTCTAGCATGCTCAAGGCCCTGAGTTCAATCCCCAGTACCAAAAGCAAAAAACAAACAAAACAAAATACACACACACACACACAAAAACAAAAAACAAAAAGCTTTCACTGGGTATGGTGGTGGCACACCTTTAATCCCAGCATTTAGGAGGCAGAGACAGACAGATCTCCGTGAGTTCAAGGCCAGCCTGGTCTACATAGAGTTCCAGGACAACAAGGGCTACATAGAAAAACCTTTTCTTTTTTAAAAACGAACGAACAACAAATTCGGATAGAGTAAAGCTAAGACAAATAGAACAGTGATGGTGGCTGCAGGGGACGCAGTGCAGGTACACAGAACCACCGTGACTGCAGGGGACTCAGTGCAGGTACACAGAACCACCGTGATTGCAGGGGACTCAGTGCAGGTACACAGAACCACCGTGACTGCAGGGGACTCAGTGCAGGTACACAGAACCACAGTGACTGCAGGGGACGCAGTGCAGGTACACAGAACCACCGTGACTGCAGGGGACTCAGTGCAGGTACACAGAACCACAGTGACTGCAGGGGACGCAATGCAGGTACACAGAACCACCGTGACTGCAGGGGACTCAGTGCAGGTACACAGAACCACCGTGACTGCAGGGGACTCAGTGCAGGTACACAGAACCACAGTGACTGCAGGGGACTCAGTGCAGGTACACAGAACCACAGTGACTGCAGGGGACGCAGTGCAGGTACACAGAACCATCGTGACTGCAGGGGACGCAGTGCAGGCACACAGAACCACCGTGACTGCAGGGGACTCGGTGCAGGTACACAGAACCACCGTGACTGCAGGGGACGCAGTGCAGGTACACAGAACCACCGTGACTGCAGGGGACGCAGTGCAGGTACACAGAACCACCGTGACTGCAGGGGACTCAGTGCAGGTACACAGAACCACCGTGACTGCAGGGGACTCAGTGCAGGTACACAGAACCACCGTGACTGCAGGGGACGCAGTGCAGGTACACAGAACCACCGTGACTGCAGGGGACGCAGTGCAGGCACACAGAACCACCGTGACTGCAGGGGACTCGGTGCAGGTACACAGAACCACCGTGACTGCAGGGGACGCAGTGCAGGTACACAGAACCACCGTGACTGCAGGGGACTCAGTGCAGGTACACAGAACCACCGTGACTGCAGGGGACTCAGTGCAGGTACACAGAACCACCGTGACTGCAGGGGACGCAGTGCAGGTACACAGAACCACAGTGACTCTGCAGGGGACGCAGTGCAGGTACACAGAACCACCGTGACTCTGCATGGGGGACTCAGTGCAGGTACACAGAACCACCGTGACTGCAGGGGACTCAGTGCAGGTACACAGAACCACAGTATCTGCAGGGGACTCAGTGCAGGTACACACAACCACCGTGACTGCAGGGGACACAGTGCAGGTACACAGAACCACCGTGACTCTGCATGGGGGACTCAGTGCAGGTACACAGAACCACCGTGACTGCAGGGGACTCAGTGCAGGTACACAGAACCACAGTAACTGCAGGGGACTCAGTGCAGGTACACAGAACCACCGTGACTGCAGGGGACGCAGTGCAGGTACACAGAACCACCGTGACTGCAGGGGACGCAGTGCAGGTACACAGAACCACCGTGACTGCAGGGGACTCAGTGCAGGTACACAGAACCACCGTGATTGCAGGGGACGCAGTGCAGGTACACAGAACCACCGTGATTGCAGGGGACGCAGTGCAGGTACACAGAACCACAGTAACTGCAGGGGACACAGTGCAGATACACAGAACCACAGTAACTGCAGGGGACACAGTGCAGGTACACAGAACCACCGTGATTGCAGGGGACGCAGTGCAGGTACACAGAACCACCGTGACTGCAAGGGATTCGGTGCAGGTACACAGAACCACCGTGACTGCAGGGGACTCAGTGCAGGTACACAGAACCACCGTGACTCTGCATGGGGGACTCAGTGCAGGTCCACAGAACCACAGTGACTGCAGGGGACTCAGTGCAGGTACACAGAACCACCGTGACTCTGCAGGGGGTACTCAGTGCAGGTACACAGAACCACCGTGACTCTGCAGGGGACTTAGTGCAGGTACACAGAACCACCGTGACTGCAGGGGACTCAGTGCAGGTACACTAATCACCATGAGTCCTCAGGCTCCCTTTTGTCCCTTGGTCAGGAGTCTCTTTGTGGAGGAACAGTGGTGGTTAATAAGGAGGCTAATCCTGAACAGAAACTTCATGGATGAGATAAGATCAAGTCCAGATCAAAGTGACAGGCATCAGGAGGACTTGCTGTTACTGGTGCAGAGTGTCAGCAAGAGGCTTTAAAGCTAAAATGTACAAATATGTCTCCTAACTTCAAAGTTGAAGAATAGGAAGTCATTGAAAAACTCTAGTCCTAAAGAAATAATACAAAAATCCATCTGGTAATTTATCATGAATTAGTTATATAACTAATTCAAAAAATTCAAATAAACATTAATTTCATAATAAAAAAAGGTGGGTTGGGGATTTAGCTCAGTGGTAGAGTGCTTGCCTAGCAAGCGCAAGGCCCTGGGTTTGATCCTCAGCTCCGGGGGGGAAAAAAAGGGAAGACAAGTAATATATAAATGACTAAAATTTAAACCAAGTCACAGTTACTGGGACTGAGTAAGAAAGTAGACCATCCCCCTTGGTGTTCTAGGCAGGCTTTCCAGCTGTTGCAAGCAGACATACAAACAAAAGCTCTGTGGTCTGCTAGGTTTTATGAGGGGTGGATTGTTGATTCAGAGGATACAGTGGTTAACCTTGGTTTGGGTGAAGTTTGTGCCTCAGACTTCTTACATTCCAGATTCTACTCTGGTTAGGTGCTCATTCTCCCTAGCTGAGATACACGGATTTTCATTTAATTTTGTTGATTGATTGATTGATTGATTGATTGATTGATTGACTGAGGATTGATTGGTTTTCCGAGACAGGATTTCTCTGTGGTGTTTTGGTGCCTGTCCTGGAATTCGCTCTGTAGACCAGGCTGACCTTAAACTCACAGAGATCCGCCTACCTCTGCCTCCCGAATGCTGGGATTAAAGGCGTGCACTGCCACCATCTATTTTCCTATAGGCACTTACCAAAGGTGTGTATGGACATCCAAACTCACGTTGCCTGTTCCTGCTTCCCCTTCTCCATTAGTCTAAAGCCCAGTGTCTCTCAGCACAGATGTGTTTGTTTCTTAGTTTCTTTCTCCATCTTTAGGAAATCCTGTCTTTAATATTCTTCAATTCCACAAATGAAAAGATTATGCTTAATATTTGTGTGTGTGATAGTGTATTTTGTTTGTTGTTTTTCCTGCCACACTCTGCAATTGCTGGCCCTTTTCTGTTTCTGCAGGTGGTAATTCTGGATGTTCGGGTTCCCTGCACACCTGTCGCCAGGCTGAACAACCACCGAGCATGTGTCAATGGCATTGCTTGGGCCCCACATTCATCCTGCCACATCTGCACCGCAGGTAACCATGACAGCAGCAAGTGTGAGAGAGTGAAGATCCTGGCTCCCTAGGAGTGTGATTCTTGCTGTTTCCAGGGCAGTTTTGTGAGATTGAAGCAGTCCACATTCCAGATGCTCTTTTGTATTCAGTTGGTCTCAGAACATCTTTCATTGACTAAGGATGGTGTGTATCAGATACAGACCTGGGTGTGTGTTCCTATAGGGGTAGGTACTGGTTCCCCCAGGAGTCTGGGTTCTTAGAAGAAGAAGCACCCTCTTGACTGTGACAGGGTCTTTGGCACTACCAGGAATTACCTCCCTTGGGCCTTGGGTCTTTCACCTTCACAAAGCCTTACCTAGTCAGTAATTTGACTTACAGTTCTCATTTTACTATTTTTCTCAAAGAGGGTACTTTTCAAAAAATGCTGCTTAATGCAAGTCTGTTATTAAAATGAAAACAATACAGAGCTGTAATAAGTCAAAGGTTAGAAATCATCTTTTCAATTTGCTTTTTTTTTTTTTTTTTTCCGAGACAGGGTTTCTCTGTATAACAGCCCTGGCTGTCCTAGAATTCACTCTGTAGCCCAGGCTGGCCTTGAATTCACAGAGATCCGCCTGCCTCTGCCTCCCAAGTGCTGAGATTAAAGGCGTGCACCACCACCACCACCACCACCACCACCACCACCACCACCACCACCACCACTACCACCTCCACCCAGCTTGAGGATAAGTTTTAAAAAAGATTTAATCGCGACCTTTAGAAGACAGTGAGCGTAGCTCTAACAGACTGTAGTGTCTGTCATTATCTCAAGAGAGAACACTGCTTGGAGGAGTCAGGGTCTCATTCTCTAGTGCTGGCTGCCCTGTAACTTACTATGTAGACCCTAGACTGACTTCACACTCAGGGCAGTCCTGTTTCTGCTTCCAGAGTACTGGTTTTTTCCTTATTATTTTGTTTTATTTTTATTTACTTACTTTGTTGAGACAGGATCACACTGTGTAGTACTGTCTGGCTGTAACTTGCTGTATTGATCAGCCTGAGCGGTCCACTTGTCTCTGCCTCCCAAGTGCTAGGACTATAGTCATGTGCCACTATACCTAGCAAAACACATTAGTTGGCAGTGGTTGAGGTTTTTTTGTTTATTTGCTGATGGTGCTGAGATTGGACCAAGGATATTGACCATGATAGGCAGATACTTTACCACTGAGCTATGTCCCCAGTCCCCTATTGTTGGGATCACAAGCACAGATGGAATTTCTTTTAATGGTGCATGTCTATTTAGCACTTTATGTCAATCATCTGTACAACTCATTGAAGTGTAAATATACAAAAAATGGGAAGCAGTCATCAGAGAAGCATCTTCATTCATGTAAGTATTTTTAGTGGCTGAAAATGACATCATATTTTGGGAGCATTGCATCCCGTGCCCTCTCCTGATTCCTGAATCCAATGTCCTGATCTAATTCTCTAACCCTGGTGCAGTGGATAGAGCTTCAGGACCGAGAATGTGGAGTCAGGACCTAGATTTGAGTCCTGACCTTGCCACTCACTGGCTACATGGCATGATGGGGCAAATCGTAATATTGCTAAATCTTGGCTTCCTCATCTCTAAAATAAAACCTCCCCCACAAAGTTTTGATGAGCAAATGTTTTGCAAATTGTGACTGACTCTCCAAATGCAAGATTGTTACCCCGCGTTGTCTGAGCTGAGACGTTCTTGCTTGCTTTTTCTCTAGCGGATGACCACCAGGCTCTCATCTGGGACATCCAGCAGATGCCTCGGGCCATCGAGGACCCAATCCTGGCCTACACAGCTGAGGGCGAGATCAACAATGTGCAGTGGGCCTCCACTCAGCCTGACTGGATCGCCATCTGCTACAACAACTGCCTGGAGATACTCCGTGTGTAGTCTCTGTGGCGCCTCACCTACCGGGCCGGGGCTTGTGTGTTTCAGTCTCTGCCCCCTCCCTCCCCACGTAAGAAGAACATGTTTCCAGTGGCCAGTATGTCTCTTGTTGCTTTACACCCACTGTGTCCAGAAGCTGCTGTAGGAGTCCAGGCCAGTTGCCCCTGGCTGTCTGTGCAGGACTGTGCTGTGCGGTGCACCGCAGCCCAGGGCTGGGTTTTACGATTTCTCTGCTTTCCTCTTCTTTGCTTCTTCAATTAAACATTTCTGTATATCTGTTTGTCAGCTGTTGTGTTCATGAACAGTACAAGCACTGGCTCTGTCTGTGTCCATGTGCCCCATGTCTGTCTGTTTACTGCCCGAGGCAGTAGTCCGTGTCTTGTCCCCATCTGTGTCTATGCTAGCACTTAAATGGGATCAAATGCCAATTTCAAATTGTCTTTCCTCCTGGTATCAGTGTCTTTTAACAAACCTCAACTTTGTATATTTATCTATCCGGCTAATTTTTTTATGAAAGGAATTTCATCTTCCTGGTTTCCTGGTTTTACAGTCCTCCCTCTTTGTACCTTCCTCTCCCCCTCGGTGCCTGCAGTGGCTCCTGGACCCCAGACCCCAAGAGCAGTTTGCCTTCCTGCGTCACTGCCTGTATGGCACACCCTGACGGGGATTCAGAACTGCATTGGTGCTCTCAAGGCTTCTGACTCACACCTCTCTCAGTCTGGGTCCTGAAGGCCTGACAGGCCAGGACAGACATAGGAAGCCTCTGTTCCACCACCCTCCAGTTCCTCTCTCGGCTTCACTAATGAGTATCCGGTGGAGCTGAGGTGAGCAGTTGACTAGGGGCCAGGCTGAGGGAGAACCATTCCAGGAAAGCTGAACTTCTGTTGTGTTTCCAATACCTGGTTTCAGAATCTATTTTTCCCTTTTAGAACTTGAATGATAGGCAGGAAAGATCTCTAAGCTAAGCTTCGGTATTTGTTTGCTGAGTTTCCTCTGCCTGGTGGGATTCTGGTCCATGTCTGGATTGAGTGCTGTGAATGAGAGACTCCTGAGAGGTGCCATCTGTCCTGACCCTGAACAAGATCTTTAGATTGAGCTAGACAGGCAGTTCTCCTAAAGGATGGACTAATCAGCTGTGGTGATTCCAGGCCACCAAGTAAACGACTACAAAGGAATCCTTGGCCCCGGGGCCAGTCATCAAGAGTCTCTCCATCTGGGACACTTGCCCGCCCCCTGAGTTTAGGTTCCGAGCAGTATTGGACTTTGTAGGCTGCAGTTGGCCGTGCTGACCTCCAGGCCTCAGGTGTTTGTTTCCGTTACATGAATGGGTTCCATGGAGGGGACTTGGATAGTTCTGACTTTAGATGAGTCCCTGGCAGAGTTTGGGACATGCTCTAGGGAGAATTTGCCTGGCTTATTTCCTGCTGAGCTGCCTGAAGGTTCCTTAGATTCTCTGACATGAGGAGAGTAGCAGGCCTGAAATTTAATGGTTTTGGCCACTTCGCTGTCGTTGCTGGAGAAGTAACTCATTGTTCTGTGCACATGGACTCTCTGAGTCTTTGCTCACTTCCTACAGCTGCTGCAGCTGTATTCCAGAAGTCTTACATCGCTTTACTATATAGGGGCTCGACCCACAGGAAAGGCATTTTCAGTCAGGGTGTTTCCCCTGGGCCTTCCTGATTTGTCATTCTGATTTCTGGTCTCTGGCTGGCTGGCTGCTTGAGATTAATGTTCCTGCACTAGCGTGTGCTTTGCCCTGGATCATTTACAGACAGAGAGCACAAATTGTGGTTACCTCTGATTTTAGTGGTGTTTGCTAGCTAGTACAGAGTCCTGGAGGGTGGCAGCCTTGCTAATTCAGGTTGCTCCTGTAGGAGCCCCCAGTTTCTCCTGCGCCGAGTCTACAGTGGAAGTCAGGAGCGGTAGTAGGGCCTGCCGGGAAGGGCCTCTGTGTTCTGGGTGGGCTTTAACTTGGGCTGGATGATGGGGTTTGTCAACTGGAATTTGAAAACAAAGGTTTTAAAGTTAGTAGTAGTTATTAGAATAGATTTGATTGAGATAGCTATGTGCTTTGGAAACAACCACATGATGATTTTTCCCCTGCTCTGTGGACGCTTGTCATCTTTCTTTAGCCTGCCTTCTGTGCCCTCCATCCGGTCCAGGTAAGACTCTGCTGTCTCCATCTTCAAATATGCATGCACCCACTGTTGCAGGGTGGTGCCAGCTCTCTCACCCTCCCTTTAGAGCATGGGTAGGTGGCCCTGTGGCTGAGGAAGAGATTTCTGTAGCCTTGACATACAGAAAGTCGCTTAGTCTGCCATCCTCCCAGGAGCACAGATGTATTAAAGTGTCAAAAGCCAGTCTGTTTAAATTGCCAGTTCTAACAGGGAGGTGGGTCAGGACCTCCAGATCTGTTCTCCTCCAGGGGCTGTAGCTCCAGGCTCCGGCGTGGCTGCAGTGCTGTTTGGACTTGACTTTGGCATGCTAAGCCGGGCTCTGGCCTGTGCTTTCTGTGTGTGTGCTGTGTGGGAGGTTGCGTGCTCAGTCAGATTAGCAGAGAGCTGAACTGCTGAATGGGTCTGAGGCTTTCATAGACTTGAGGCTTTTCCCCACAGGAGATTGTATCTCTCTGGATGATAATTTTCTATCGAAATCAGAATTGGATCTCTGATAACTGGCTATAATTCAGGAAGAACAGGAAAAAAATCAGAATCCTACAGTGTTTTGATGATTGTTACAGTTGAAATTTGGTATTTTAGGGTGTAGGAGAAAATGAGTTCTTGGGATCAAAGGAGGAAATACTAGAGAACACAGAGGGGCTGAGGGAAGGAGCATTGAGAATCTCTCTCATAGCTGTGAAGTGAGCCTGGACCTCAGCCAAGGCTGGCCTTCCAGTGCTGTTAATCAAACGTGTGTCACTGGGTAACTAGGAAGAGGGTAACAGCTAGGGGCCGAGAGCCCTTCCTACAGCAGGGCTGCTATAGGTGACGTCTGGGGGTTAAATTCTAACTAGGGGGGTCCCATGACAGTACATGATGATACTGTTGCCAGTCTGTCCTTGAACTTAGGATCCTCTTATTTCAGTTTCCTTGAGTGCTGGAATCACAGGCATGTGCCCCTGTCCCCAGCACCCATGGTTCTTCTTGTAGATCCCCCTCTTTCTTTATCTTCCCTTTGCCCTTTCATTTTTCATTTTGTGTGTGTGTGTGTGTGTGTGTGTGTGTGTGTGTGTGTGTGTGTGTGTGTACGCGCGTGTGTGGTGATGGAGATCAAGAGCAGGCCCTCACATGTGCTAGGCAGGTGTTCTACCACTGAACTGCACCCTAGCCTCTTCTCTTCCGTTTTTCTCTTCTCCTATTCCTTTCCACTGTAGAATGTTCTCCCCGATGTAGCCTGGGCCCTAGATTCCTAGACTGTAAGGACATGGAGGACTCGGGAGTTTACCAAACATGGCTGAGCAGTCCAGAACTGCCCACCACTTTCCTCATTTTGAAAATAGGGCAGTTCCTTTGATCACCTGGCTTAAGATGGAGAGTACCACTGCAGTAGAGGCCTCAAAGTGATGTTTCCTTTAGAGCGGCGACGAGGAAGGTAGAGAGTGCTTAGCATTTAGGTTGATTTTCTGAGAGGAGAGCTGACCTGAGCAGTGTCACCATGAACCCTAACAGGCTTTCCACAACTTGTCCTCTCTGCTCTGGGGAGGCTGCAGCTGAGTATCTCATGTCTCAGAGCTTGTTCACCTCCCCCTGCTACATTCCCTCTTCCTCCCGTACTGTCATTGCTGCTAATGGTCAGAGTCAAGCATGTGACATTATGGAATGAGCAAGCTTCTTGGGCTGCTATCTAGATGGCACTTTTTAAATAAGGAAACATGCAGGTTTCTTCTCCCAAAAGGCTTGAACTAACGTGTCAGCCAGAAACAATAAGCTAAGGGAAGTTTGAACTCCAGAAGAAGGATGTTGACAGTCTGTGTGACAGCCAGAAAATGTACAAGCAGCCACCTTTGGGACAACTCAGTGAAGCTGAACTGTGCTATATACTATTTGAAAGAAGTGTTCTCACTTGGCCTGAGTGGGATGTCCAATGTGTAAGGGAAACTGTTGACCTGAAGCTTTGAATCGCTTTAGTCAAATGAGTCACTTGCTTTGGTCCCGTGTGTTTATGACCCCTCCGTCAGTGACTTTCCCTTGCCCCACCCTGTGTGTGACTTCTAGCATGATTGTATAAACCTCTATGTAGAAAATGGAGATTTCCTGGTCTACACAATGTTAAGCTCTAACTGGTCCGTTTCTGTGCCCTTTAGTCTCTGTGTGTGAACTTACTTTCTTAGATATTTAAACTTCCCTTCTAAAGCTTTTGTGGCATCACTTGTTCAGGTGGAGAGGAAGCTGCCCCTTTGCAGAACTGTACTGTAACCATGTCTCCTTTATAAATATTATTTTCACAGGGCTGATTGTATACAGGGCTTGTAATAAAACATTAACACTGTGCTGTGAATGAGCTTAGGATTCTCCTCCGGAGGCAACTTGAAAAGCCGAGAGTGGAGTGTTCTTTCTGTGACTTTCCTTCTTCCTACGTACATTAAGTCTGTTCACTCTGTTTCAGCCTCCTGTATAAGAAGTACCGTATTTTCTGCCCATCATACTTTGTAATAAAACTTGAACATGTATAGATTGAATTTCTTCTTGTGGTGAATTCAGTTCTTCCCAGTGTGTTCTTATGGTCATGTTTCAGAGGTACTGGAAAGGCATTGGACTCCACCTCATTCAGCACAGTATTCTGATGGCCCAGCTCGTTACCTTGTGCCTCCTCTTTGTTCACCCACTTCCTAGGCAACTAAGGAAACATGGACACCTACTCCAGGCTGAGGGCCAAGGGCCGAGACCCTCAGATTGCTTCTATTTTGTCAGAGGGCTATCCACACATTTGTAGTGTTCTGCAGTAATGGGGCTGTGTTTAGGAACCCTGAAGCCACTCCTGTTAGGGTGAGAGCCAGAGTGCCTCAGGAAAATGTCACAAGATGAAGGATGTCTGATTTGAGTTTTGAAGACTTAAGTAGGAGTTGTCTGGGAATAGGGAATGCCACTTAAGGCAGAGAATAGTCATCTGCAAATTTATATAAATAAGAAAGTGTCAGATTCAGAGCATTACCAGTTAATGGATGTGTGGGAAGAATGGTGGGAGGCGTAACTAGAGAGGAAGGCAGCAACCAGATCAGGGCGAGTCCTGTACTTTGCAAAACTTTTGGATCTTAACTTGTGTGAGAATTTGGAAAACAGAGGTTAATCAGGATGTGACTTGCTTTTTTAAATTTACTTTCTTGAGACAGGATCTCTGTAACTAGGGCAAGCCTTGTTACACAGATCCTGTCTTACTGTGTGGCCAAGGATAACTTAGAATTTTGTATCCTCTTGCCTCTAAGGTGCTAGGATAACAGAAGTGCACCACCACACCTAGTTTATGTAATGCTGGAGATCAAACCCAGGGACAGATATACGGGGTTCTCTAGAGAAAAAGAACTGACAGAATGAATACGATGAAAAGATTGATTAGACTGGCTCATACCCTAGGGCTGAGTAGTCCAGCAATAGCCATCTGCTCACTAGAGAAGCTGACAACCCAGTACCATCCCAGTTCACAAGGCTGCGCACCTCAGCAGTCCTGTTCTGGCACTGAGAGCCTGGAAGGTTCCTGGAGAGCTTCTGTTCTTCAATGTCAGGGCAGGATAGCAGCAATGGCAGAGTAGATGTGCTTGCCAGCCAAGAGGGAAGTTCGGCAGGCAGAGCAAGGCTCCTCCCTCCGACCTCCAGGCCTCTCAGAATCAGGGCTGCTTGGAAGAAGGTACCTTTCACACTGGGAGAAGGTCTTTCCTCCCTCATAACCTTTTCTAGAAATGTCCTCACAAAGTATGCCTGTTAGATGTTTCTAGACCAAATCAAGTGGATAACCAAGATAACCATCACAGTAGGCAAACACTCTACCAACTGAACTATTTCCCCAGCACCTCCTCCTTTTTATTTATTTATTTATTTAGAGGCAGGGTCTATGTACTGATGTTTGGGATTGGTACTCAGTATGTAGCCCAGGCTGACCTTGAACTGTCTCAGCCTCTGGTTACATTTGTGTACCACTGCACTTGTCTTGCATGTTAGAAAGATAAGCAGTGAAGAAAGAGCCTCTGAGAGGATGAGTTTTCTTTTGCTTGTTTTTGGTTTTGCTTTTAAGACAGGATCTTATAACTCAGGTTGACCTGAAACTCAAACTGTGTAGCCCAGACCAGCCTCAGGCTTATGGTAATCCTCCTACCTCAGGCTCCCAAGTGTTTATATTACATGTGTGAGCTCTCACGCCCCCTCCCCATTTGTGAGAGAGACATGATTTCTGCCATATTTAGTTTAACACTAGGAGAGTGAGGTAGATCTCTTGAAATCTCAACAGGCTATGCTATTCTGTGCTGCCTGACTGTGGAGAGCTTGGTCATCCGCCCAGGGCAACTGCAAACCTTGTTTTGGTTTCTGTGCTTATTTGTGATTGTTTTATTGATTCATTTTTGCTACTAGATAACATAAGCTTGGACTATGGGAGTAGCTCAGTTGGTCGAGTGCTTGCTTCTCATGCACAAAGCCCCAAGTTCAGTCCTCAGCACTGTATAAAACTGGGTGTAGTGGTGCACACCTGTAATCCCATCACTTGACAGGTGGAGGCAGGTAGGAGGATCAGAAGTTCAAGGTCATCCTTCACTGCATAGGGAGTTTGAGGCCAGCCTGGTCTAAAGCCCCTGTCTTGAGAAATAGAGGCTGCATTTTTAAGTTATAAAAACCAGTGTGGCACTAGAGAAAAAACAGTTAGGAGCACTGGGAGTTCCCAGCACTCACATCAAGTAGCTTACAACAGCCTATGATTCCAGTTCCAGGGAATTCAGTGCAATCCTTTGGCTCCCATGAGTACCTGCACACAGAGACCCATACATAAACACATACATTTAAAAGGGAAGGAGGTTGGCTCACCTGTTCAAAGCACTTGCTGATCTTGCAGAGGACCGGGGTTTGGTTCCCAGCACCCACATGGTGGCTCACGACCACTTATAACCTCAGTTCCAGAGAATCTGACACTCTTCTCTGGCTTCTTCAGGCACAGACATGAATGTGATGCACATACGTAGATATAGGCAAGACACTCAAACACAAAAATACATTTTTAAAATGTGTTGGACTGGGTGGCTCACAGATGTAATACTAGCACCCAGGAGGCTGAGGCAAAAGATAAGTCTCAGCTAGGTGAGTTTGAGGCCAGCCTGGGCTACATGAGACTCTTGTCTCAAAAAAAAAAAAAGTCATGCTATAAATAAAAGCACATGAGAGAGGGACTGGAGAGATGTCTCAGAGGTTAAGAGCACTGACTGCTCTTCCAGAGGTCTTGAGTTCAATTCCCAGCAACCACATGGTGGCTCACAACCATCCATAATGAGATCTGGTGCCCTCTTCTGGCCTGCAGTCATACATGCTGTATACATAATAAATACATTTTTTAAAAAAAGCACATGAGAGGTGGGATGTTCAACTTCAGAAGTCATGAAGTACAATTAAAACCATGGGATGCTGTGTATGGTGGTACATACCTTTAGTCCCAATACTCTGAAGGCAAAGACAGGCAGATTTTTGTGAGTTTGAAGTCAGCCTGGTCTACACAGTGAGTTCCAGGCTAGCCAGAGCTACAGAGGGAGACTCTGTCTCAAGACAACAATAAAAACAAAATTAAGCCCCACCGTGAAACAACACTTCACACTCCTAGAATGTCTATAGCTATAGACAAAAAGAAATACTTAGTGAGTATGTGGAGAAGCTGAACCCTCTGAACATTAAGGGTGAGAATGTAAACTGATGCAACTATTTTAAGTCTGGCTCTCCCTTAAAGGTTAAGCATGATTATGATATGACAGAAATTCCACTCCATGGCATATATGCAAGAGAAACAAAAATAGGGTTCTGAGCGGAATGATGCTGGCACATGCCTTTAATCCCAGCACTCAGAAAGCAGAGGCAGGTAGATCTTTGAGTTCGAGGCCAGCCTGATCTACAGAGTGAGTTTTGGGACAGCCAGGGCTACACAGAGAAACAACGAGAGAGAGAGAGAGAGAGAGAGAGAGAGAGAGAGAGAGAGAGAGAGAGAGAGAGAGAGAGAGAGAGAGAGAGAGAAGAGAGAGAGACTCGTGGTATTCATAATACAAGGTAGAAACACACCTATCAGCTGAGGAATGTACAAGTAAAATGTTCATTTAATGGAATATTGTTTGGCAATAGAAGGAAATACTGATTAATGTTACAGTCAACTGAACCCTGAAAACATGCTGTTCTAGTTTTCTTTCTGTTGCTATGACAAACACCATGAGCAAAAACAACTTAGGATAGAGGAAGATTGATTTGGTTTACACTTCCAGGCCATGGTCCATCATTGAGGGAAATCAAGACAAGAACCAAACGGGAGCTTGAAACAATCCACAGATGAATAGTGTACCTGTGCTCTTGTTCTCTCTCTTGTCTCTCTGTGTGTGTGTGTGTGTGTGTGTGTGTGTGTAAGAGAGAGAGACTGACACAGACTCATGCTTGCCTACACTTAGCTACTTTTATTGTTTTTTTCCATTTTTTAAAAAAAGTGTCTGAGGGCTGGAGAGATGGCTCACGGCTTAAGAGTACTGGCTGCTCTTCCAGAGGACCCAGGTTCAATTCCCAGCACCCACATGGCAGATCATAACTGTCTGTAGTCCAGTTCCAAGTGACTTGACACCCTCACACAGACATAAGTGCAGCCCAAACACCAAAGCATATAAAATAAAAATATATAAGCAAAAATAGTTTTTAAAAACGTGTCTGGGTGTTTTGCCTGAGTTTGTCTGTGTACCACTTGCATGCTGGTGGAGGCCAGAAGAGGGTATCAGATCCCCTAGGACTGGAGTCACAGATGGTTGTGAGCCATCACGAGTGCTGAGAATAAAACCCAGGTGCTCTGGTTGAGCAGCCAGTGCTCTTAACTGCTGAGCCGCCTCTCCAGCACCTTAGCTACTAGCTTTCTTATGTAGCTCAGGACCACCTGCCTAGGGATGGTGCTGCTCGCAGTGGTCTGGACTGTCCTGTATAAATAAGATGCACACAGAGAGACATGTCCACATGCCAATCTCATTTGGTAATTCCTCGGTTGAGGATGTCCTCTCACATGACTTTAGGCTATGTCAGGTTGATAAAAATAAGCAGGTGTCTTAGTTACTTTTCCTGCGAAGAGACATCATGACCAAGGTAACTTTAAAAGAAAGTGGGCCAGGCGGTGTTGGCACACGCCTTTAATCCCAGCACTCGGGAGGCAAAGGCAGGCGGGTCTCCAAAGCGAGTTCCAGGAAAGGTGCAAAGCTACACAGAGAAACCCTGTCTCAAAAAAAAAAAAAAAGTGTTTACTGATGCTCATGATTCTGGAGGGTTAGAGTCCATGATCATGGTGGCGGGCAGCATGTCAGCAAGCACTCGGCCACTGGAGCAGTGGTTAAGAGCTTACACCCATCCTGATCTGCAAATTGGAGGCAGAGAACCAACTGGAATGGTCTGGGCTTTTGAAAGCTCAAAGCCCACCCTTAGTGACACACCTCCCCCAACAAGGCCACCACTTAATCCTTCCCAAACATTCCACCAACAGGGGACCAAGCATCCATCCAAGCATAAGAACCTATGGGGGCCATTCTTATTCAATCACCACACTAGGACACATGCTAAATGAAGGAAATCATTCACAAAGACCACATACTACATGCTCTCATTAATATGAAATGTTCAACAGAAGCAAGTGTAGGTTGTCTAGACCTGTGACAGTTGAGGGGGATGAGGAGCGACTGCAAAGGACACAGGGTTTTCTTCAGAGTGATAAAAGGGCTAGGTTGTGGTGACGGCTACGGTGAATATACTAAAAATCATTGGACATTTTAAGTTGGCACCCTTTATTATGTAGAATCTGTCAATAAAGCTTATTTAAAGAAAAAAAAAAACTACCGAGTGTGGGAATTACAGTACTGTGGTAGACATTAACATTTTGACAGGAAACAGGTAAGTGCTAACCCAGCCAGATGTCTTAGCAGATAAAGGCTCCTTCCACCAAGCCTGATGACCTGAATTTGAACCAGGACCCACGTGATGGAAGGAGAGAACTCACTCCCACAAGTTGAACACACACGTGATTAATTTAAGAAAACCTAAGTGCAGAGGTATAGGCATGTGTGATGGCTGGTGGGAACATAGGTTAGCGCATCTATTTTTTTATTTTTATTTTTTTTAATTTTTATTTTTTTATTTTGTTTTGTTTTTTGTTTTTCAAGATAGGGTTTCTCTGTGGAGCTTTGTGCCTTTCCTGGAACTCACTTGGTAGCCCAGGCTGGCCTCGAACTCACAGAGATCCACCTGGCTCTGCCTCCTGAGTACTGGGATTAAAGGTGTACACCACCATCGCCCGGCAGGTTAGTGCATCTAAATGGGGAGTCTGATGTTTGATGCCCAGCTGAATCTTTAAGGAAGAGCAAAATGTAGCCAGGTGAAATGGGACAAAAACAACTCTGGGTTTAATACAGGACTTGAGAGAAGTTTCAGGAGTTTAATCCCTGTGACTTGCACAGCACAAGGAGGAAGGGGGCAGTCCATCTCTCAGGAGCTTGGATTATGAAATTTCGGAAAAATTCATGGGGGCCAGCAAGATGACTCAGTGGGGATCTTGTCACCAAGCCTGGTGACCTGAGTTCAATCTCCAGGATCTAAATGGTGGAGAAAACATGTTATCCTCTGACCTTTAAATATGCATCGTAACACCCATATTCACACACACGCTCACAAAGTAAATAAAATGTAATAAATTAAAATGTTATGTGCTGACTGGGAGCAGTGGCTCCTGACTGTAATTCCAGTACTTGAGAGGCTAAGGCAGGAGGATCACCATGAATTCAAAACTAGGCTTGGCCTGCAGAGTGAGCCCCTGGGAGATAGCTCATTGCCTAGCATGCTAGAAGCCCTGGATTTTAGACCCCAGAACCTACTCCACGACAAGAACAGGTGAACTATATTGCAGTTAAGAATTTGAAGGAGCCGGGCGGTGGTGGTGCACGCCTTTAATCCCAGCACTTGGGAGGCAGAGCCAGGCGGATCTCTGTGAGTTCGAGGCCAGTCTGGGCTACCAAGTGAGTTCCAGGAAAAGGCGCAAAGCTACACAGAGAAACCCTGTCTCAAAAAACCAAAAAAAAAAAAAAAAAAAAATTTGAAGGAGAAATGGCTCAGCAGTTAAGAGCACTTGTAAGCCAGACAGTGGTGGCACATGCCCTTAATCCCAGCACTTTCGAGGCAGAGGCAGGCAGATCTCTGTGAGTTAGAGGCCTGCCTGGTCTAGAGAGGGAGTTCCAGGACAACTAGGACTATTACACACAGAGAAACCCTGTCTCAAAGAAAAAAAAATAATAAAATAAATAAAAAGAGCACTTGTAAAACCCCACACACATAAAATATAAATAAGTTCTAAAGACTCAGTTAAAGATTTTTATGAGTGTTTGCCTGCATGCATGCCTGCAGCATGTGTGTGTAGAGCCTGCAGAGGTGCATCGGACCTCCTGGGATGGGAGCTTCAGAAGCTGTGGGCCACCATATTGGTGCTGGGAATCACACCCGGGGCCTCTGCAAAAGCAGCAAGCACTCTTAAATGCTGAACCATCTCTCCAGCCCCATGAGCTGAACCTTGGAGGCAGGGATTTCACCAGTGAGACAATGAAGACCACTCAAGAGAAACAAAAGTGGTCAAGAATTTGTACTCAGGCTGTGCGTGGTGGCCGCTGGTTACTCTGGAACTAGGAAGACAAAAGCAGCCAACATAATGCCCTCCCATAGAGATGGAGCATCAGAACATGAGAATGGAAGATGAGCCGGCTAATTATGGACATACTTATGTAATAATATAAAATCTGTGCCCGTGCTCCCACCATCCTCACTCTTCTCAAGGCTATTGTATGCGGAAGGAAGCAGAAAGGAAGGGAACTTGTCCAAGGTTGCACAAGTAAATGGCAGAAATACAGTTTTAATCCATCCCGTCTAACTTTAGAGAGCAAAACTTCAAACTGCCTTCACGTTGTCCTGCTTTTCTAATGAGTGAAGCTCTTGGGACTTAATTCACCCTGGGGACCTCTTACAGAGATTCAGTAGCTGCTATTTTTTTTTTCTTTATTCTTTATAGCACCCCCTTTCTCTGGTTTTCTCTGTCAAGAGAGCAGGTGGAAGGGGCTGGAGAGAGAGCTCAACAGTCAAGGGTATTGGTACCTCTTCTGATGATGCAGAATTGACTTCCAGCACCCACATGGCAACTCACAATCATCTGTAACTCCAGTTCCAGGCTATCTTGATGTTTTCATCTGGCCTCTACAGGCACCAGGCACACAGACATGCATGCAGGCAAAACGACCATACACATAAATTAAAAGTACTTACAATAATTTTTTAAACAACAGATGGAAAACGAAGATAACAGTTTGACTTAAAGGCTGGTCTGATCTTTCATCCTTTCCCCCAAACCCTGTGATTCATCTGACTCTGTCCCCAAGCTATCTCCTTGGGTTTAGGAGCCAATCATGATTACAGCTGCTGCTTACATACCTTTTTTATTCAAACTCCAGGGGTTATGCTGTGTTTTCAACTCTCCAGTATGGGATGGCAAAACAGACACAATGTCATCCTTGTTTATAGAAATAAAAATCTAAATCAGAAAGTCTTAAATGACTGGGCAAATCACTTCTCTGATGGCTAGGATTCTTTTTAAAATAAATACATTATGGTTTTTTATGTTTATGTTTTTTTGTTTGTTTGTTTGTTTGTTTGTTTTGAGACAAGGTCTTGATGTCACGACCCTTCGCTTCCCAAGTGCTGGAATTACAGACATGGGCTACCACTCCCGGCATTTAGGACTGTTTCATTTGTTGCTTCCCTTTTTTTAATAAGCACCCTTGGCGGAGGTGTCTTTACCTGCAAAATGAACCGGTTGAACTACGTATTTCTTTTTGAACAACAAAACATTTGTTATTCTGGACTTGTTTAGAGTTAGGAAGGAAGATTAGTGACACGAATCTCTACTAATTCAATGGAATGAACTCTGGTGTCTCCGAGCAACCGGGAGCAATTGAGGTCTGGATCACTCCTGGCAAGGCAAGGTTCTAGCGAGTACGAAGAGGCGGCGGAACCGACTTTGCAGGCGCTGGGGACGTGTTTTGCAACGGACCAGGGACAGGAAGTGTACTGTGTCAATAAGGGTCTCCACGCCCGGCGGTGGCAGGGTCACTCACGGCTGGGCAGGTTAAGTGGGTCTCAGCCTTTGAGTTTCAGGAGACCCTCAGAAGCGGCCAGAACGTCCAGACCGGCTTGTTCCGGTAACAGGTTAGACAGGTTGACCTTGGCCGCTCCTCTTTGCACTTTGTCACCCCCGGTCGAGGCAGATGATGTCGTGGGCTGCTGCCAACCTGAGAGGGACAGCTGCCCGATGCTTTCGTGCGCGATGCCTCGGGTTCCGCGTGGGACCTTGGTGTGCCTCCCAGCAGGAAAACTGCGGTCCAGCTCCACACAGGACCCTGCGTGTCAGCGCGGCGGCCTCCGCGGGACACAATAAATGGTCTAAAGTCCGGCACATCAAGGGCCCCAAAGACTTGGAAAGGAGTCGAATCTTCTCCAAACTCATTCTCAGTATCCGCCTGGCGGTTAAAGGTGAGAACCTGACGGCCCCACTGCTGATCACTGAGACCCTTTTGGTGCCTAAGGCTTCACTTGCCTCCCTAAGCTGGACTAGGGCCAATTACTTTCTTCGCGTTTTCCAGTTGCCATTGTTGACGTACCCGTAACTCTCAAAGCACCCACCTTCACTGGATATTCCCGTTTTCCTTTCCAGAAACCTTTTAGAGACCCGCCCTTAGGAAGATAGATATGACTCCTTCAAAGTCTATAGGTAGATAGGTAAAATAGAAATAAACCCTAAGAGTCAAGTCAGGGCTTGGAGAGATGGCTCAGCGGTTGTTGCTCTTGCTGAGGACCTGTGTTTGGTTCCCAGCACACACGTGATCGCTAGCAACCACCTGAAACTCCAGTTCCAGGGTACTCAACATCCTCTTCTGGCTTCCGTGGGCACTGCATGCATCATGCATGCAGGTAAACACAAACAAATCTTTTTTAAAAAGTCAAGTATGTGTCTTTCTTGAAGGAATAAACCAAGCCTTGTGCAGCTGCTTTTACTAGCACTGAAGGCTGTGGCAGGCATACTGAGTCAAGTCATTTCTTGCCTAGGCTTAATTTTTCCTCGCTAGAGCTCCTGAGACATTTTTTTTGGAAGGCTGGTTTGGAACCATGTATCTGCTCAGTGGTGCAACTGTCTTTTTTCTTTCTCAGGATCTGTTTCTACCGCCCTGGTTCTGGAATTATAAGTTGGTGCTGGTATTTTCTTATATGTGAGATCTAGGGATCAAATTCAGATCCTTTGCTTGCAAGACAAGCACTTTGCACACTGAGCTGTCTTCATTAGATAACATATTCTAATGGAGAGTAATTTGCCATTGTTTTGGGCTTGGAGAGGCTGGAAATCACTTCTTTCTCCATACTAGATGAGATGTCTTTGATTGTTCTTTTTCCTTTATCCAGAGGGAGGCCCCAACCCCGAGCACAACAGCAACCTGGCCAACATCTTAGAGGTGTGTCGGAGCAAGCATATGCCCAAGTCAACTATTGAGTCGGCGCTGAAAACAGAGGTGTGTCCTCAGTTTCATGTTGTTATTATTGACCACAGCCCTCAGGGGTCCATGTTTGGAAAGCCACCGGAAATTCCTTAAATGATCAGAGAGAAGAGTAGGAACATGGTTGACATCCCAACCCAGAGACCTTTGAGGATTCTCTCTCCTTGACCTTTGGTTAGAGGAACATGACTGGGAATAGGCGATGTAGACAGTATGGAGACCCATAGAGGGCAGAGCTGTGTTGTCAAACTTGGAGAAGATAGGGAGAAGAAAGGACAGGTAAGACTGGGAAAGCCCTAGACGTTAGGTTGGAGAAGGGCTTGTTATCTTCTCAGATGCTTATGTCTAAGGGAGAAAAGCCAGTAAGAAGAGACAGTGGTACGGGTGGTGGTGGCAGCACTCAGGAGGCAGAGCTAGGTGGATCTCTGAGTTCGAGGCCAGCCTGGTCTACAGAGAAAGAGGCAGTGGTAATGGTGGGAGTGGGAAGGATGCTGAGCTCCAACACTTCCTCTGGAACAGGTAAGGATTTGAAGAGTTAATAATTTCTTTCTATTGTTTTCTTTTGAAACAGGGTCTTTTTGTGTAGCCCAGGCTAGTATGGAACTCATGATCCTCCTGCCTCAGCCTCACAAGTGCTGAGCCTACAAAAGTGTCTAATCACTCCCTAGAGTAATCATTGTAACAGCTGGCAGTTATTGGGTGCTGGTTCCTGACCAAGTCCCTTAATAAAAACTCTGCATGCATTTCTCACTGAATCCTGAAAGTGACCTAAAATGGAAACTAAGGCACAGAAAAGTTTGGTGACTTGATGTAGGTCATGCAGAAAATGGCAGACCCAAATCAAAGCAGCCAGACCCCAGAACTCAACAGGGAGCTTGAATTTCATTTGTGAAAGTGGATGGGAGGAGTCATCAGTTGAAAGCCTCTAGAAAGGTACAGGGCAAGGTGCTTAGAAAGTAGTGATGTGGACAGGGGATGAGGTCTAAGGAGTATGGAGGAAATTGGCAACTGGTTGTGAAGTATTTGAATTTAGCTACAGTGCTGAATTCAGTGGCTCCCATGACAAGTTCCACGTGATGTTTCTATAGCAGCACCCAGCAGCCCAGGGCTAGTGGCGTTGAGAATTCCTAAGTAGGTGTGTGTGTGAGTATGTACGTGTGTGTGTGTGTGTGTATTCTCACATAGAATGGATTACAGGAAGATGAATAAAGGTAGGAGTGACTGTGGGGTGGATGTGGGGTCTGGTTAGAGAAGGGTAGAGGCAGAGCTGGGAAGGCTGCTTGGGAACCAGAGGGAAAACTCCCTTTCAGAAGGAATAGTACGTCCACTGATGTCAGAAGTTGATGCCATCGGCCTCCCTCCCCTGTCCGGAAGACAGAGACACAAATAAAGACTTGAGGGCTCATGCTCAAGTAAGTCTTGAGAGGTCACACATGGAGTCACTTCTTAGTCAACCATACCTGTGGTTTGGTGCTGGCATGGGGGCACTGGGACATTAGGAAACATGACAATGGATTTTTTTTAATTGCAGAAAAACAAGGGAGTTCATTTGCTGTACGAGGGTCGAGGGCCTGGTGGCTCTTCTCTGCTCATTGAGGCATTATCAAACAGTGGTCCCAAGTGCCATTTGGACATTAAATATATCATGAACAAGAATGGGTAAGTATGTGTATGTAGGGAAAAAGGGGACAGAAACTTTAGGTTCCAATTCTATGCAATGCAAATGCCATTGTTCCTCAGCAGTATTTCAGGTTGTAAGCACGCTTCTTCCTTAGTGGAATCCAGTGTGATAACTGCTTTTCCCTTAATGTCTTCTGAACGAGATAGGATCCCATAGGTGTAGATGAGATCTTTTCCCCATCATTCCATCTGTAGCCATATGATGTTCCAGTCTTGAAACATTCCCCCAGGGCAGGAGTTTTAATAGAATTGGAAACAGTGAGCAAAGTTGTTTCCTGCAGACTCCAATAGATGCAGAAAATAGAAGATGGGGATGCTCTTGGACAGTCTCTTACCCAGCATCAGCTGTGTCATCTTCATGAAGAGAGTTTTGGGTGTCTCTGGGTGCTCCAGGGGCCAAATGGGTCAGGGGTAGTGTTAGAATGCAGCACTTTGTGGAGACTGAGCTTCCCAAATCATCCATGCATTGTCTCTTCCCTTTTCCGTAGGGGAATGTTGGCTGAAGGAGCGCGTCATTTCTTTGACAAGAAAGGAGTAGTTGTGGTTGGAGTAGAGGACAGAGAGAAGAAAGCCGTGAACCTCGAGCGTGCCCTGGAACTGGCAATCGAAGCAGGAGCTGAGGATGTGAGAGAAGCTGAGGATGAAGAAGAAAAGAACCTTTTTAAAGTGAGTATGGGCCCGGTAAGATGGCTCAGCTTGCTTCCAAGCCTGACAAGCTGAAGCCTTTGTGTTTGGTGGGCTTCCAATGGGTCTCCAATAGATACCTTAAGATATGCTTCTCTGGGCTTCTTCCTTCCTGTGTGTCAGTATACAGGTAAAGCAAAGAATTCACAAATTGCCCAGTGTTATTAAGATAAGCTGGAGGCTAGGACCTATTCTTCTGAGTTGGTGAGACTGGTTCTGAGCATTGGAAACTGTGAGCTTAAAGCCAATGATAATACAGTACAGCTTGCTCCACTCAGGACTTTGCAAAATGCTGCCTGGCGTGTGCCATTCCTTCCTGGCTTCTCACCTCCTGACTTTCTTTTATCCCTAGTTTATTTGTGATGCCTCGTCACTGCATCAAGTTAGGAAGAAACTGGACTCCCTGGGCCTGTGCTCTGTATCCTGTTCCTTGGAGTTCATCCCCCACTCAAAGGTGCAGCTGGCTGAACCTGACCTGGAGCAGGCTGTTCACCTCATCCAGACTCTCAGCAACCATGAGGACGTGGTTCATGTTTATGACAATATCGAATAACCAGACTGTGCCTGTCTCCAGGCTCTTTCCTAGGTTTCACGAGCTTGTGCAGCAATCTCGGAGACTGAAACAGGTGGGCACCTACCAGAGACCTGATGCCATGGCTTACAGCCTTAAAAAAAGGGACTTTTAGCTTTGTTGGTATCACAGGGCCACCTGGGATACAAGGTGAGACTAGCCAGCTGGTCTGACTCTGATCCCAGGTGATTGGCCCTTGTCAAGATTCTAAGTGTCTTGTACTATAGAGTGGAAATTGATCATCAATAATAACAGTAGTGATTGATTATTCTTGGATGTTGCATTGATGGTATAACTCTTGAGTTGTCCCCAGTTTGTGTCCAGTTTTTGAACTTCTGGACTAATGTTCAGGCCCACATGCTTGTTTCTCTACTTTAATACTAAGATTGTCTTTTTTTTTCCCTTTTCTTTCCTTTTTACAGTGAAATGTGGCTGTTCTCTGTGGTTGACTGGTGGCCTAATGAGCTCGCCTTTTCACTCACTCATGCAGCTAGTATTTCTTGAACATCTTTCTTTACAAGAATTGTGCTTTTCCAGAGACCAGGCTGTTCAGTTGATGCTTAGATCTTGCTCTAAGATGTAGGGCCTCAAAGGGAAAGACATGGGGCTGTACCCATGGAGCTGTCCCAGGGTAGTGTGGACTGCGTTTATCATCTTTTTTTTTTTCTTCACGTGGTTTTTGTTCCCTTTTCTGTCAGCTTAAAGGCTTTAGTGCCATAGGAAGTCAGGTGTCAAAAGGGACCTCCTCAGGACCTACTTTGAACAACCCATGTGTGTTCTGAAGATTGATAACAATGGCCCTATCAGCAGGTAGGGCTGTTCTCCTGAAAGGCTACACTAACCTGGGTTTGAGAGCTTGAGGGCCTCAGAAGGCCACTTTTAGCTCCTTTTCCAGTGATGGCAAATGATAGGAACACCAATAACTAGAGGGGGACAGGGACAAAAGGAAGAGTGAGGGCTGAGCCAGAGCCTGGCCTTTGTACCTTTGGCTCTTAACAGTCACTTCTGGGTTAGAAAGTCTAGCAGTGTCGACTGCCTGTGCTGTAGTATATCAAGCATAATGCTTCTGGAATGGCATTTGAATCCAGGTCATCTACCAACTTACAAGCTGTTAAGTCAGTTCTGAGCTCAGAGTAGTTTTCTTCTGAAGGAGCCTTAGGTAAATAAGTGTGGAAAAGTCCTAATACTGTGAAGGATACTTTAGCTTCTAGAAAAGGACAGCTGGAAAGCCAGGAAGAACAAAACAAAAAGAACAGAACAGTCCAAGATCATACCAAAGCAGATGCCCTTATGCCTCATATCAAAGTCATAGTACTAACTAGGGTTTTTTAGTTTTGCTGGGGACAAATCATCTAAAGATCTGAATTAGTACATCATCAGAATGGGATAACTTGATGTTGATAAGCTGCTTTCTAATTGATATGTCATGTTATTTGATTTGACAACAAACCTATAAACTAGAACCAGGGCTTAGGGAGTAAAGCGTTTGCCATGCAAATGTGAGGACCCTAGAATGTGAGTTCAAATCCCCAGAAGTCTTGTAAAGGCTAGATACAGTAGTGTGTACGTAATCCCAGTGTTCCTATGGGAAGGTGGGGGCTAAGACAGGAGAATCCCCAGAAGCTTGTGAGCCAGCTAGCCTGATGTTCATAGCAGCAAAGAAGAGACCCTGTCTCAAACAAGTGGAAGTCAAACACTGACATCCTGTCTACACACATGCCATGGCACATGTGTGCCCACACTTACACACACAAACATACTGTCACATCATATACACCCATGTACACATGTACATGCACAAAAAAAGATTAAAATAAAATAATTATTTTATGTATAAATTATCTCACACCTAGGGCTGGAGAGATGGCTCTCATTTTTTTCTGATCTCCTAGGGCACTCACATATACATGGTATACACTCACATACACACATAAATAATAAAAAATGAAAATAAATCTCATAAAAAAACAAAATAAAACCCTCAAGTTATCTCATACCAAACAAAGGAGAATGGGCTTAATACATCTTATGTTGATAGTGCCTGTTTATAAAATAGCCCTGTTTTAGAAATGTTGAATATAAATTAAGTTGATGGAATGTGATCATTTCTAATCTGAGAAGTCTGTATGAAGGAAGCTTGTTCTTAAAGGGAACTTGGCTACTCTTATGAGCAGGCCTCATCCTATCTAGAAGAGTTTGTTAATATGGCTTGTTGTGGAACCAGTTTTCCTACACCAGGCCCTGCTCGCTGTACTATACAGTAAGGCGCCTGTGAGGGTGGCGCCGCACTGACCCCTGGTGGTGCCCTTCTCGCTCCCACTGTTAACAAGGAAAAGGAGAAACGGACAGACTTGGACCTTTCCTGCTGTTTCTGGATCTAATTGAGACCATAACATATAAATAAAGATAGTCACAGCCATACAATGTAATTAAGGACAAGAAGTCACCAGGATTGTGAAGATACGTAGTAAAGGCATTTAAGAAGGGAAAAATTTAGTTTAGTGATAAATTCTGTCTGATTTTCATCAGTATAAAAGTGAATTTTTTAACAAGAGCATCTGTGTTTCAGGGAAGAAAGCCTAGAGTTTTCCTTGCTATATTGTCTTTGAAATTCACATGGAGATCATGAAGGGGGTTTCCAGGAATTTCAGAGCAATAATAAGAGTTTGGGAGTGGGCAGGCAAAAGTATGGCCCTTCCTATTGCATAGTAAAGCCCCAACGTTCACTATAAAAAAAGTTATCTCTCTCAGAATACTTTATATCAAGCTGGAACGGCGACCCACACCTGTAACCCCAGCACTTAGGAGGCAGCGAAGGGGGGACTGCTGAGGGTTTAAGGCCACTTGGTCCCCATATGGAGTTCCAGGCCAGCCGAGGCTACATAGTAAAACCTTGCCTCAACAAAACAAACAAAAGAATAATTTATATCGTAGTGTTTACAATATAATATTATGAAGATTCAAAATTACAAGTATGTTGGGCTAGGGGGTAGCTCAGTGGTAGAGCATATGCTTAGCATGTGTGAGGTGTCTGAGTTCAATCTCTGGCACTAAAAAGAAGCATGTGTACTAGATATAGTACAACTCAAATTTTGAAATATTTATTTAACAATACTATGTCTGTTAGGTCTTTTTCTTTCTTTCTTTCTTTCTTTTTTTTTGCCTCCTTTGAAACAGGGTCTCATATGATCTAGGTTAGCCTCAAATTCGCTGTGTGGCCAAAACTGACTTTGAACTCCTGATCCTCCTCTCAAGAGCTTACATGAGGTTTGGTTTTGTTGTTGTTTGTTTATTTATGGCTAGGAGGAAATATATGAGAATTTCAGAAATGGCAATCTTAGAGTTGTGATGTTGTCACTGATCTCGCTTTCTTTTTTTTTTTTTTTCTTTGTTTTATTTTGGGGTTTTATTTTAGTTAGTGAGACAGAGACTTACTCTGTAGCCCAGGCTGGCCTTAAGCTCACTGTGTAGGCCTTGAACTCATAGCCATTCTCCTGTTTTACCCTCTCTAGTACTGAGATTACTACAGGCATGAGTGACCATGCCTGCTATTATTACTGAGTTTTCCTTTCTATAATCATGTTATTATTTTTATCAGGAAATTTTTGTTTATTTGTTTTTCAGTGTTAGAGATCCAACCCAGGACCTCACACATCCGAGGCTGTACAGCTGAACTACATCCCTGGCCCAAGGGGAAATATGTGAAACCAGTGAACAAATAGGTGCTGGGTGTGGCCCTGTATAGCAGTTATTCCAACACTAGAGATGCTAAGCAGGATCTGGAATTTGAGGTTAGAAAATAAAACCAAAAACCAAAGCTAAAGCCCAAAACCAACATCCGACTCAGATTATTGCCTGACTAGCAGACAGACAACATCTGGAAGTCTGAGCATAAGAGGTTTTTTTTGTTTTGTTTTGTTTTTTTAAAACCAGGACTTGAACTTCCTGCCTCTGCCACTGGAGTGCTGATTACAGGTGTGAGCCACCACACCTGGCTCTGGCTCACCTTTATGTCTGAAAAATGGGGCTGGGATGACTTACATCGGCTTATCTTTGATCATTGTCTTAGTAATACAAAGTTATTCACTGCCTTGAAGCCATACTAGGGTTATGTTCAAGTGTTCTGATGAGCTGAAAGTATTTATGACAGGCTCTGTCTACAGCCCAACTTTGACTTATATGTGTGTGTGTTAGGATTGAGCCTAAAGTCTTGCTAAGCAAAGGCTATAGAGATCACCAAGCTATATCTCCAGCCCTGTTTTTACTTTTTGAGACAGGGTATCACTAAGTTGCCCACACTGGCCTTGAACTTGTGATCCTGCTATCTCAGCCTCCTGAATGGATAGAATTATAGGCCTGTGCTAGCAAGCCTGTCTTACATTGACTCTTACAAGAAGTGCTGCTGTGGGGCTGTGGATGTATTCAGAGGATAGAGTATTTGCCTAGCCTGCACAAAGCCCCAGACGTGATGCCTAGCATCATGTAAGCTGGGCATGGGAGAGCACACCTATAATCTTAGCACTTGGGAGGGGAAAAAGCAGTGTTCTTGTGTATAACTGCTGCCCTTTTGCAAGAGGCTCTGGTGTACTCAGGGGATAGTGAAGGCTATGGTTCTAATTAACTATGGAACTTGTACAGTGCTGTTAAGTTACTATTTTTAAAGGCTGTGCATGTTCATGCACACACTAGGCAAAGGGCAACCTTCTCTGTCATCCTCAGGAACGCCATCCCCTTTGAGACAGGCTCTCTCCTTTGCCTGGAGTTGAACAGTTAGGTTAGACTGGCTGGTGAGTGAGCTCCAGGGCTCCTCTTGTCAGCCTTCCCAGTGCTGAGGTTAAAGGCATGCCGCTGTGGCCGCATTTGTGCATGGGTTCTGGTGACTAAACTCAGGTTCTTGCGCTTGCAAGGCAAGCACTTTGCCAACTGACCTTTCTCCCCAGCCCAAGTTATTTTTCTTTCAATTTTATAGCAAAGCAGACAATAAAGCTTCGAACTCCAAGTCTCAGACTCCTGGGTATTCTTTTGAATTCTTGTGGACTCCTTTGGAGATGTTCTGTGAAAAGAGTCAATGGCCGAAGGGAATGCTGTGCTAAATACCAAACTAGTTTGGACTTCATTCTGTGTCCAGCCACTGAACAGGGTAGCACCCTTAACTTCTTTCTTGTATCTTTTGCTTATTTCTAAAAGGTTATTTTTATTTATTTTAAAATTTTATTTTATTGTGTGTGTGTGTGTCTGTACAATGTATGTGGTGTCCATCTCCATTGCTTGGCAATAGTTAGTGTTCAGAGCTGGCTCAGTGGATACAATGCAAATTCAAGGACCTGAGTTTAAATCCAGAACCCAGATGGAACCCTACGTGGTAGTTAGCGCCCACATCTGCAATCCCAGTGCTCCTATGGGGAATAGACAGGAGAATCCCTAGAAGCTTGTGCCCAGCTAGCCTGGACTGCACAGCCATAAGCAACAAAGAGATCTTGCCTCAGTCAAGGTGGAACCCAAGGTCATCCTCTACTCTCTACACAAATGCATATGTATACACAAACTGCTCCTCCCAGTACACGTATACACATATAAGGCAACACACCCCTGGCTTCCTCGGGCTCCTGAACTCATGCACATATTCCCCTCACCCCCCACATACATACAAATGGTTAAAAATAATAAAAACAAATCTTTCAAAAATACAGTTACCCTTTGTACTTTATAATCTGGCTTCACCACCACCACCACCACCATGCACGTGCACACACATCACAGGGTATTTAGGATCTTTTTGGTGTTTGTAGAGGAAGGCTTTTTAGTCTTGTTTGTGGGCACATACTATTTTATTAATTACTATATCATAATTTGTTTAACCATTCTTTCCATCAGTGAGTATTTGGATGTCTACATAGAAAAGAGGCTACAATGGATTTTCTTTACTTTTGCTTATTTACAAACTACTGTTTGGGATAAGTTTATACCAGTATGATTTTAAAATGAATACTTTTTTGTTTTGTTTTTTTTGTTTTTTGTTTTTTTGACACAGGATTTCTCTGTGTAATAGCCTTGGCTGTCCTGGAACTCACTTTGTAGGCCAGGCTGGCCTCGAACTCACAGAGATCCACCTGTCTCTGCCTCCCAAGTGCTGGGATTAAAGGCATGCACCACTACCACATGGCTACTATTTTTAATTAGAAGAAAATATTAATAATTTTTAAGACATCATGGTTGAAAGAATCTTCTATGAGGTATGCATATTATTCCTTGACACAGCAAACTAACTGGTTCAACAGGTCATCTAAAATGTACCCTGCTTTATCTCTGAATTAAAAGAATTTTCATAAATCAGGTGACAGGTTTGCTGGTATTTTTCTTTTGTAAATCAAATCCGTTGATCTTTCCCCTAAAAGAATCCATTCATTGTTTTTATTGTTCCTTCCATGTCCCATTGTCACCATGGTCTTGAAAGAAAAGAATGAAAGTGTGCAGCTAGTATGTAATTGGGCTGCCAGATAGGGCCAGCACTTTCTTAGGCCCTGGCACTGGGAGTGAGTGTGGCTCAGATACCCAGAGGCCAGCCAGCATAAAACTAGGAGACAGCCTCTAAAAGGCATGAAGAATGGGGAGAGAGCAACCACAGAGGGAAGATAAAATACATAACTAAGCGTAATTGTGGAAATCACATTCAATTACTAGTGTCCCCATTTGACATTCAACACATACACACACACACACACACACACACACACACACACACACACACACACACGCACGCATACTTGGTTGTTTTGAGACAGAGTCATGCTATGTTATATGGTCCTGATAATGGACCTAGGGGCTGGCCTTCAGCTTGAGGCAACCTTCCTGCCTTTGCTTCCTGAGGGCTAGGACTACAGGCGAATGTGCACCACTACACCCAGCAGGTATCTTGAATATACTATTAAAGACAGTAGGCATGCCAATTTGAATGACAGCTGCTTGCTTGCTCACTTGTTACCCTCACCCCAAGGGCTAGGGGAGGAAACCCAGGGTTTTGCACATGCTAGGTGAGCTCTTTACCACTGACCTACATCCCCCACCGGACAGCTTCCATTTCTCTGCTTATTTTGCAAAGTGCAGTTACATTAGAACAGAATAAGTGCTTGGATGAAGAGTCCCAGGTGCTCTGGGAGCATATCAAAGGCCTTAGCCCTGTTTGAGAGGTAAGGAAGGCTTCCTCAGGGAGTGACGGAGAACTGTGGACTTAATTCTCCCCTGAAGGAATGAGAGTGGGGGCAGAAACAGAGAACATTCAATACAGAGAACACAGGACACATAGCACTATGTGGGGAGGGGGTGGATAGATTGAAAAGCTGAGATTTATTTGAGGAAGTATTTATTGGTATGTGTGTATGCCTGAATGTATGTATGTGTCTGACATGCATGCATGATGCTTCTGGAGTTTAGACAAGGTCCTATCCCCTGGAGCTGGACTTACAGGCAGTTGTGAGCTGACCAGTGTGGGTGCTGGTAACTGAACCTGGCTTCTCTTGAAGAGCAGCAAGCACTCTTTACTACTGAGCCATCTCTCCAGCCCCTATTTGATTCATCTTAAAACTGATGGGATAAGTTTGTAAATAGGGTTTGCTAGGGTCACGTGTCTGAAAGATCGCTCTGTGGTGTGAACACATTTTAAGTAACAGATTTTGATGGTTTGATCTGGGCTAGTGGGGCTAGGATGGAAGAGAGGCAGATGGATTGGAGACTTGGTTAAGATTGATGGCTGGGGAAGGAAAATGGAGAAAGGTCACTGAAAACTCCGTGTCTTCCTTGGGGGAACTGAAGAACAGAGGAAATATGGCCCAATGGAGGAAAGTTACCTGTAGAATTTGAGGTGTCTGTAGGATACTCAAGAATGGTGCCTCTGGGGCTTGGAACAAGACCTGCCTGAGCGGGAATCCTCAGCACAAGGTAACTGCAGCATGGAAGTGTTTGACTTTGGTGGCTAAGGGGCAGACAGTGGAAATGAGATTTGCAAAGAAGGCATCTGGAGGAAAAGGTGGAAGGAAGAAGCTCATCTAGCTCAGGTACTGGAGACATTAAGTGAGATTACGTGCCTGGCATCTAGGAAATGGCTGATGTTTTTCTCCATTTTTCCTCACCAGAAAAAAAAAGAATTATTCTAATTAAGAAACTTCAGTAAATTGGGGACTTAATCAAGTGAGAATATGAGACTTGAAAGTTTGCTGAAGAAAAACAAGTTGGGCACAGTGGCACAAGCCTTTAACCCAGCACTCAGGAGGCAGAGGCAGGCGGATCTCTGTGAGTTTCAGACCGGACCAGGTCAGCATGGCAGTTCCAGGACACCCTAAGTTACATAGACTTTGTCTCAAACAATAACAACAAATGCGGGGGGGGGGGGGAGCAAGAGCTAATTAAACATTGTGGGGGTGGGGTGGGGATGAAGATAAAGGGGATTGTCCCAAACACTAAAGAGATTTGACACTCCAGGCAAAGCCACCACCTAAGGTAAGGGTTTCTAGATGACAGCTGGAAATGGCATCTGAAGAAGACTATTCTGGAATCTGAAATACGTCACTAGCATAGTGTCCAGAGAAAGGGAACCCACATTAATTGGGGGTAGAGTTGGAACCTAAAAACTGGGTGTATAAATTGTTGAAACAATGGGAGTTGGAGAAATTAATCACAATACTCTTTTGAAATATCACACAGCCAGTACAATTGTTTTGAGACAATATTTAGTGGCACAGGAAACACTTAATGCAAGTGTTAGCACACCACAAAACAATATGAAGTTATTTTTTGTCAAACGTTGTATATCTAGGTAGGAAATAGATAAAACTATCTCCAGGGTAGATATTTTTCTATTTTCCTACACTTTTCTTTTTAAAACGTGCCACGCTTTTATATAATTCTAAGAGCAAAACTGTTGTCCAAAAGCAACTCTAGCAGAACTCAGAATGTGGGGATCCACGTTCCAGCACTTCCCTAGCCTTTGGGGACGGAGGAATCAGGACCCACGGGGGTAGCCTCGGAGGTCTGAGACCCAGGGGAATGAGAGAAGTGGCAAGACTGCCACCCTGCCTGCAAAAGCGGCATCTAGAGCCGCAGGCTGCCCAGAGGATCGTGCAGCATAGTGGCCTCAAGCCTGGAAGCTCACAGCCAAACCTTCCCCGCCCATTCCGCGCCAGACGCTTCGCACTAGCAGGGGCGGGGCACCTTAGGACCGCCAGGTCGCGGACAACCGACAACTGGAGGGCCGAAGGTTCCCGTTTTCTGAGGCTCGCTGCCTCTACAGAAAACGCCTTTACCGAACCCAGAACCACAGCAGGCGCGGAGGGGAACAGCGCCAGCCCGCGCGCTCGCCCAGGGTTCCGCGACTGAGTAGAGGTGATGTTGTGGGCGGAGCCTCAGGCCGGAGCTGTGATTGGAGCAGCCCACACCTTCGGCCAGAGAGGCCGAGGGCGCCAGCTAGCGATGCACCGGGGCGGGTCTCAGCGCTCTCTCCGTGATTGGCTAGGAGCGAGAGGACGGGCGCTGTCTCGGTGATTGGCAGGCTCTAGACAGCCCTCGGAAATCGCCTTGACTTCGCCCATTGGCATCCTGTGAGAGTAGGCGGGATTGGTTCGTCGTGATTAGCTGGCGGCTGAGAGTGAGGGCGTTGGGAGTGAGCGGGAGGAGGGGCGGGAAGATCCGACTTCCTCCTGGCTATTGGCTGCCAGGGAGAGTGGGGGTGGTGCCAAGGCCCAGCGGCTGCCTGAGATTGGCGGGTGCTGACATGAGTGACAGACAGCGAGGCTAGCTGCGCGCCCAGCGGTTTGTTTTTCGGAGCGTTCCTGAGGTGGAGAACAGTGGCCGGACGGAGCGACTTCTGGACTTGGGGACTGGCAGGCGGGCGGGCCGAGTGGCGCCGCCGAGGCCGGGCTGGGCCGAGCCTGGGAGCGCCGGGGATGTAGCGGGCCACCCTGCTCATGCCACAGCGCCCGGCCGCGGCCGGAGCCGGAGCCTGGGGAGGCGGCGGGGGCCCCGAGCGCAGCCAGCGCAGCCCACGGCCCCCGCGCGGAGCCAGGCCCGCTGCCGTCCCCGCCGCCTGCTCCCCCGGCATGCAGCCTAGGCTGCGGAGGTGACACTTCTGGGCTGTAGCCGCCGCCGCCGCCATCGCCACCATGGGTGAGTATCGCCACCGCCCCGGCCTGTGCCCGCGCTGCTTCGCGACGCCCCGCCCCGGGCTGAGGGGAGGAGGACCCTGGGCCGCCCGCCTGACAGGCATGGACAGCCTGCGGGGCCCGGGGCTGAGGTCCGCGGACCGCTCGCCTGTTCGTGGCGCCGCTACCGGCGGCGGTTCTGGCTACTAGGACCCTCCGGGGGTACCCTGCCGGCCAAACCCACTCGGCAGCTCTCTTTCTGGGCATGCGGCCGGCGCATCCCCGGGAGGGGTCTGCGGGACCAAGGCCCGTGCTCGGCGGGGCCGCCCACTCCGGTCCCCAGCGAGCTGGCCCGCGAGCTTGAGGGTGGGGGAGCCGGAGCTCAGTGTGGGGCCGGGGCTGGAGCCTGGTGCAGGCCCAGCTGCTGTTGTGTCTTTTCCTTGATTTGCTTTTTTTTTTTTTTTTTTCCTGCCTGTGTCATTTCCTTCCCTTTGCTCACACAGGCTGGCCTGTGAGTTCCCGGGGCTTTGCTCTCGAGCTCCGTGCGCTCCCCTGCGCAGGGGGGAGGGTATGCGGGACCGCGAGGCGATTCGACGCGGATCCCTGTGAGCAATCGCGGGCTTGGGAAATGCGATCTGTGCTCCTCGCAGATTACTGGAAGTTAGGAATGATGGGTGCTGTGGGGTTATAGCTCAAACCCTACTTTTGGAAAAATCCAGCTGCTATTACTTTTATCCTGCGCTATCCCTGAAACTGTAACTTTTGAAAGAGGCATTCGCTACACAAAAGAATGACTATGAAATCATTTCCTTTTTGTCAGCATTTGCAGTTCTGCTGTGAAGATGTAATCTAAGAAAAGCTTTTAATGTCTTCCACACAGTATCTGAACTGAATCATATTTCGCATGATTTTGGTACTTTACCAAAAGACTTGGACTCAGCTAAGGAGCATGTGACATTTTAAATATACTTTGCTTCTCCAGTTGGGGCAGGTGTTGTGATGCTCTTGTTCCTGGTCTCAGTCGGGTTTTGCAAAATATTTAGTCTTGTCCTAAGTAAGAAAGGGTAAAATTTAGTAAAAGTCTCCTTTGCAGAAGTATTCATTTCTCCTATGAAGTGGTTCATATGAAAATGAAATGTTAATGTTTGCTTTGCCTTATAGCCAGGTCGTCATTTTTTTTTTTTTTGGTTTTTCGAGACAGGGTTTCT